TTTTTTGTTATTCTGTGTCATGGGTACCATTGATTTATCAGATTACAACAAGGTGCTGGGTTGTTTTTTTTCGAAGTTTTCAATATATTCAATGATAAATTGCTGCAGATACTAAATTAAGTAGCATTATTTTCTTACGTGTAGATTTTTAATTCTCTTACATTTTTTAAGGCTTGTATCTTTTTGTCTTACGAATATGATAGCTATATGTTGAGATATTTTAACGATCTTTGATTTAAATCTTAGTAACAAAGATGCCAATAGAGTGCCGAAGTTATGATGTCACTTTGTAGGCCAAAACGCGGAAGTGAGTTAGCATTTTAGCACTTCCGCCCTAAAGTCTTTGGGTTTTTGGAATAATTTTTTGCTAAATCGCCTCAAATAAGGTCTTTGGTTAACAAAGCCTCTAAATATTTTTACGTTTTGATCTATGACGCAAAACACCTGCTTGTGGTTATGACCTGCTTGTGGTTTTTTAAACTTCATTGTGTCTGCTTGTGTTTTTTAAACCTTTATATAGGCTTCAAAATGTATAAATTTTGGATTAACTTATAAAGTTTATGTTCACTCTAAAAAATGCTGGGTTGTTTTAACCCAATTTTGGGTCAAATATGGACAAACCCGAAATGTTGGGTTAAAAATGTAATGTAAAAATTTAACCCAACGGCTGGGTTAGTCCATATTTGACCCAAAGTTGGGTTAAAACAACCCAGCATTTTTTAGAGTGTTGGTAGACAAAACGCGTAAGGGTCACAACTCTTTGTTAAACACGGATCTTATCAATTTTTCAACTGTGGTATTTTGCATTCTTTGGATGTTTTAGGACAAAAAATATGTTTGTACATTATTGCTGTTTATTATGTATTGTTATCTTTGTGCAGTTAAATACAGATTGTTAAATATTCACATTTATTTTATTTCTATTACTTTTTTTAAACATTGAATCTAATTGACAGCAGCAAAGAGGTTATTTAGTGTGTGTGTGTGTGTGTGTGTGTGTACGTGTGTACGAACATTTTTCATTCAGAAACATCAAGGCTGTAACGCATGTAGTAAGCTTGTGGTCAAAGGACTTTCCGAGAATGTTTTACTTTTTTTGAGTTATTTATTGCCTAGTAAAAAGACAAACTGCCCAAAGTTCCATAACCTTTGCTTGTTTGTAAAGCATCCCAGACACAATTCCTATATGGCAAGCCGTTTTAACATTTAATCATTTTAACCTACAGACAAACACAACACAAAAACACAACCAGACACTGTGACAATACTAGTCCTTATTCATTACATACTAGTCCTTATTTATTAGATACCAGTGCTTATTTATTAGATACTAGTACTTATTCATTAGATACTAGTGTCTATTAAATACTTTGTGTTTAACTAGACTTTCATAAACGGAACCTTATTGTAAAGTGTTTCTGATTATGTCTTTTGAGTAACCGTTCGTATAGTACTTGTTCAATAGATAGTACTCATTCAGTAGATACTAGTACTTATTCAATGGATACTAGTTTATTTATTAGACACTAGTATCTTTTGTAATTGTTACTAATCTTATGTTATGACTAGACAGAACGGCCACTGTATAGTTCAATTAAAAATTGTAGTAGTAAAATAAAAATTCTATTGAATAAGTACTAGTATCTAATGAATAAGTTGTATCTATTGAATCAGAGCTTGCCATAATTCCTTAGGTAACAGAACAGATTTATGAAGCATTTAGCATGACTGGCTTACATCCGCTCTGAATTTTTTTGTCATGACATTGGCAGTGGAGACAATTTTCTGGAGGAGCAAAACCGAGCTCTGGCTCCGATTAGTAAATATAGAAGGTTCTCGGATGCAGATCATAGTCATGTAAAAAATAGCTCAGTGGAATGCATGGCCTTGGCTCTGTGCAGTCCACGCCAACTCTGAAGCTGAGCACACGCATATGTGCACTGCAAGTCTTCCAGGCTGTGTTCACCTTCAGTTCAAAGCTCTTTGATATCGGGTGTTAGTGATGGGTCAGACAGGTACTTCACAACAGGAAGTGAGAGTCTCAAGCAGGAAGGGTTAGTGGAAAGTAAGATGTTTATAATTTCAGCTGGCGATAAGCTCATTGATTACGGCTTTGTACAGAGATTTACAGCCCTGATTTGTGAACAGTAGTTCACTAAATCTTTGGCACTTCTGATTTGTTAACATTCATTTTACTTTATCGAATAGGCTATAGTCTTTGCACTAATCATGCTACAAGTTTCTGGTACTTCTAAAGGCTTTGTTATGGAGCATCCTGTTCCCAATTTCCTGTCTCTAAAGGATCCCTGATGGGAGTTGAAATAATGCAGAAAGAATTCCATACTGACATATTCCAGAAGGCAACCTAAATATAGTATTGGTTTTGAGGAGGATCTATTTACAGGCCCAGTAACCAAGCTGTGTTTTATGACCATGAAATTTATCTAAAAGTGTATTTTTATTATCATATACTGTTAAATGTTCCTAATTGCAGTGAAAACTAACTGTTATTTATAGTTAAATATATAAACAGTTCACAAGTTTGGGGTCAGTAAATTTTTTTTTTTTTTTTTAGGGATGCAGGATATATTGGCCACCATATCGATATCGGACGATATTTTTAACGTTATTGTTATTTGCCTGATAAGAAAAATTGGCCGATATATTAAAGTAGATAATTTATTATTTCCTTCAGCTGAGACACTTCAGATGGGCACCGTTCACCATGATGATTTTTTGAATTGCTTGAAATATAATTGGAATCACTTCAAAAAAGGAAAATGCAGTTCAGTGCAACATGTGCAGCACAAGTCTGTCATAACACAATTATAATGAGAACTTAATAATTGTGTGCTTGAGGTATGGCTTTAAATGTTCAGAGTTTTTTTTTTTTTTTTTGTAACCAGGTTCCCAAAAGTGATATAAAAATTTGATTTTAGATTTATCGGTCAGTATATCTGTTATTGGCTTCCAAATCTAAAATATGATCGTATCGGCCAAAATGTTCACATCGGTGCATTCCTAATTTTTTTCTTATGCTCACAAAGGCAGCATTTATTTTTATATTTAAAGGCAATAAAATTAAGGCAATTTTAAGGCAGTAATATTGTGAAATATTATTACAAGTAAATGTTTTATTTATATATATATTTAAATGTAGTTTTACTCCAGTTTTCAGTGTCACATGATCCTTCAGAAATCATTCTAATGTGCTTATTTTGCTCATGTATAATTGTTCGCATATAAGCTTGTTTGAGGAATTTTAATACAGCACTGGCTTGAAAGCACTTTTGTAAACTGTTAAATAATCATCCTAGGCTGAGGATTTTCCAAAAGTCGCAGTTCTTCTCTTCTTATTTTTCAAAGTTGCCATTACTACTTGCCAAGTAGGTCATACTCTTAGAAAACCGCTCTTGTTTCTGTGACCTTTCTTGTTGTGCGTCGTCAAGGCATCGCAGCGTCTAAGCCGAATGAGTAAGTAGATGCAAAACAGGGGCTGAGTTCAGTAGTGAACTATAACAATACCTTTTCACTCAAAACACAATCCTCAAGCCACTGAAACTGGCCACGAGAGGGATTTTTTCCTCATCACTAAACCGTGCTCCCCGCTTTCTTGACGGCATCCCTGCAGGCATGCATACGCTTTCATGTCAGTGTACAGCGAAGCATCCTGTTTACATCACAAAATGTCTCCATGCCAACGAGAGGCTGGTGAGGGGTGCTGGGTCCTGGCAGTGCCATGTGGGCTTGGCTCGGGCTCGGCTGTGTGTATTGTTTCAATGAAGCAGGGATTTCTCTGCCCTGCACTGAGAGAAGTGTGGAAATGGGGCAAGGCATATGAGATCCCAGAACATCACAGCACAGTTGTAGCCTCCATGGTCTGCAGACTTGTGCATTTTTAGCATTCTTGTTTCGCATTTTAACAGAAAGCAGGTGGTTTGGACAACTAGATTTCGAGAGGACTGGGGCATGAGAGTGGTCGGGGATTTGCTTTTAGTAGTCCGAAGGTAAAGCAATGCACTTACTTCTACGATTATGTTTTGAGCTTGGCAATAATAGATTTAGCTGTTTGTCACTAGTACTGATTGGTATAGGTCCTAAAGAGAACACACTAATAATAGGTTTATTTAAAGCTGAAAATAAACAATATTTATTACAACTTTAAATTTATTATAAATACAAACGACATTTATAAATTGATAATTGATTATAAATTTAATAATGTATTTAAAAATATATTTTAAGTATTTTTAACTTTTAAGTATGTAAATAAATATATATTTTCTCCAAGGATGCATTAATTTGATCAAAAGTGCCAGTATAAATAATAAATGCTGTTCTGTCCATCATAAAATCCTGAAAAAAGTAAGTATAATTTCCTCAAAAATATTAAACAGCACAAATATTTTCACCATTAATAATTCCACATTTATCTTGAGCACCAAATCATCCTATTATAATGATTTCTTAAGGATCATGTGCCACTGAAGACTGGAGTAATGATGCAGAAAATTCAGCTTTGCATCATGGGAATGACAATGACATTTTAAAATATTTTCAAACAAAAAATGGTTAATTTTAAATTGTAATAATATTTTACAATATTACTGTTTTTCCTGTATTTGGTGTAATAATTTCCATATGTAGTGGAGACCCTTCCTGTCATCTAGCCCCTGGTTTTTCACCCGTTTATTTATTTATTTATTCGGTCCTACTTTGTAGCTTTGTTTTGGTTTTTTTAGTTTACTTCCTTCTATTTCATCTGCTTATTTCTACCAGTGTTATTATGTGGATGTCATTATATCCGTCTTTCAGGGATAGATGGCTTTGTAGCAACGTGTGTGGACTAAATACAGGGCGGTTAGTCTCCAGAGCGAGCCAGTGAGAAACATGAATTTCAGACCATTAACTGGTTGATGTTAGGCAGTCAAAAGTTTGTATAATGAACTGTTTAGTTTCAAACCCTGCATTAACTGCATGTCTCTGTATTTGTTTTTTAGTTTGAGCCGAACTAATGGGGAGATCACACAGTCGGACACAAAGCTAGAAAGCTCAAGACCCGATCATCTACTTCCTTCGTGCCAGGGACTCCATACTGTCGTTTTGGATGCAGCTTAATAAGCAGAGGAAGAGAAAGAAAGGATTTCTCTCACTCCAGCGGACTAGATTGTTTTCGGTATGATGAAAAAGTGAACTTGAATAGTTCCAGAAACCCCAAAAACCACGTGAGACGGACCAAGAACTTTTGTGGGGGACATCGGGCTGAAGTGGGCGCCATCGTTTCCCACGTGGCATCGTTGGTCAGGTAAGGAAACAGGGATCCTGTAGGATGACCAGCCTTTTCCGACGCAGCAGCAGTAATGGAGGGTCTAGGGGTGGCGGAGGCTCGGCTGCAGGCGAGCTCAACAACTCCAAGCCCAACCGGCAAGTTCGACGGCTTGAGTTCAACCAGGCCATGGAGGACTTTAAAACCATGTTCCCAAGCATGGACTATGAGGTGATCGAGTGCGTCCTGCGCTCCAACAATGGGGCTGTGGATGCCACCATCGACCAGCTCCTGCAGATGAGCATCGAAGGGCAAGGCTCAGATGACAGTTCGGATTCAGATGACAGCATCCCACCAGAGGTCATTGTCTTTTAATGTACCTATGTTCCCCTAATGATTGCATTTCTTCAGAGGAAGACAAAAGCAATGCATAACGCTAAGGACCTTTGTCTGTGGCCAGTGGTTTAAATTTGGACATTCCTTGAAATAAAATAATTATTTTTTTCATTGTCTCATGTAACCTTGTAATAAATACAGTTATGGCTCCAAAATGTTAGATGCCAGTGAAATTTAACAATACTCGATTGATTCTAATTTTAATATTTCTAATTTAAAAAACTACTTGTCTTTAATAATGTTTAAAATGTACATTTGTTAGGCAAGTAAACAGTCAGTAACAAAATAAGAACAAATAAATTAATTAACAACTGCACTTAGCTGAATCTGTAGCAAACTATATTTTTGTCACATTCTTCACACCTTATTTTAAGTGGGGTGTAATAATCGATAAGTTTCTTACCCACAGTCCTCTTACACCTGACTTCTCTGATAAGAGACTGTGTCAGGACTGGGCCTGCAGACGGATCTGAGACACATTACGATGTCTGTTTCTCCATCTACTGCATGGCGCAGTGGAGATGCTCTGCCATTAGAATTCGATGCGATCCTAAGTGAAACATAAACTGCAATGCATTTTGTTTATACGTTCTGCCACGACTCTGTGTGTCGATGCTTTTAAGATCTTTCCCCACTGGTGTATTTTTGCTCTTACATTATTTATAATCTTCTTTGTATGGGGATGTGTTGGAACTGTATGTGCATGTGCTTTACTGCACAGGCTGTGTGTATGAATATCACAGCAAACATTGACCTGAGATGCAAAACAATTTTTTTTTTTTTTAAAGAATTAGAAAAAAAAATAATTAGTAAAAAAAATCTTGGTCACAACAATATCTGTCTACTATATAGCCTGCATTTAATAACATTTTTAATTTGATATTAAATTAAAATATTATCCAATTGAAAAAAAATGGCTAGGAGCTTTTAAATAAAAACACTACTTTATTTATTAATTAATTTATTAATTATTTTATTTTAGCATCAACAGTTGAATGTGTGAGCAGTGTACATGTGCAGTAATACATATTCTGTTTGCCGTGATTTTCATATAAACTGAATATGCAGTACAGCATAATGTGTTTTTTTTATTATTTATGAATACATTGTGTAAAAAAGATCCATTAGTACCATTTATGTTTATCACAATACCAAAAATTCACGTTTTTACATTAGATTTTTATTTTTTAAATTTAATTAAAATATTGACAAATTAATTTAAACAATGTCTTGTATTGTTCAAGCAAATGCTTGTCGAGTTTTATTTAATTATCAACTTGGTACCTAAGCATCCACTCTTTTGACATTCCTGCTTCTACCATTAATTAATAGCTGACCAGTACTAAATAGATGAATGATTCTGTGCATTAGAAAAATCATACTTTTTTTTTAAATAAAAGTTTCTTGTTGGTGCTAATTGCCTTTGTTTTCTCTTGTGGTTTTATCAGATTCTTGAGCGGACTCTCGAGCCTGACAGCTCAGATGAAGAGCCGCCCCCTGTCTACTCACCACCAACATATGACATGCACATATATGACAGGAAATACCCTGATGCTCCTCCTGTTCCTCCACCCAGGTTATAAACATTTTTGAGAGCAATTTTAAAAGAATTACTGAAACTTCATGAAAAGTCTTGGAAATAGGGTCATCACAGGTCCTTGTTCATTTTAGGCACGGTTCTCTAAATTGATGCCCCCTGGTGTTCATAAACCATAATGCAATTCCTGTTGAGCCTTTTGTTTTGCCAAGATGCATGTAATTCCATTTCTCCACAGATGTAATACTCATTCATTCACAAATGTTTAATGGGTCAGACACATTGCAGGAGCTATAATTGAATTATTAGTCTGATGTGAGCATTGTGAGTATTAAAACAAATGTTATCGGGCTTTTGTTATCTTTCAGATTCGAGGCCCAGCCTCCCCCTGGACACAGGCAAGTCCAAGGTTACAAAAACTGGAACCCACCGTTACTTGGAAATCTGCCTGATGACTTCCTGCGAATTTTACCCCAACAATTGGACAGTGTACAGGTGAGCAATTGTCATGTAATGCAATAATGTTTCAAAGTTTGTGGTCGTATGCAAGGATGCGTTAAATTGATCAAAAGTGACCATAAAGACATAATGTTACAAAATAATTATATTTCAAAATAAGTGCTGCTCTTTTGAACTTTATATTCATAAGGGAATTCTGGGGGGGGATCCACAAAAATATTAAGCAGCACAACTGTTTTCAACATTCATAATAAATATTGGAATGATTTCTGAGGGATCGTGTGACACTGAGGAGGAGATGCTGAAAATTAGCTTTGAGTCACATGAATAAATTAGAAAATGATAATAATGTTTATATGATAATGTTTTTTATCAACCCTAAGGACTATAACGATAACATTGACAACCAATCAGAATCCATCCTGCTTTAAAGAGCTCGAGCATTTAAACCAGCGGATGTCAAAACTGCTGTGCACATTTAGAATAAACAGAAAGATATCGTCCGCTGAGGTCAATGCTAATATATTTATTTTTATAGTTATCCTTCTTGGTGTGAATGGGCATTTAGTTAGAGACCTTAAAAAACATTTTTAAAAATCATAATTACCTTAAACTTTTGAACGGTAATGTATCATAGACTGAACTAGAAGACCACACTGCCTGTGACACTTTTCCTTTTTCTTTAAGGGTTAAAGCAGTTATCTCGGTTATCTAGCACAAACTCTGATTCCAGGCAGTTTTTACCCTCTGGGCTTGATGCACAAAAAACTTGGCCTTTTGATTTTCCTCCAGCTCTTTTGCTATTCACCAATATTAAAAAAACATTAGTAGTTCAGAAACATCTTTAGAGGTGCAGAGGTTTGGTCATTAAAACATGCTAATGCAATGCAGAAGTGCCGTGGGGAGGCCATTGTGTAGTTGATTTTTAAGCTCTTATTGCCATATCATGCTCTCTGAATAGCTAGATTAAACTATAATGGTATCCTTGATCCATTTTACATGTACAGTTGTCCTGCATATGATGAATGTTCAAACATAAAGCAATGTATTTAATATTCACTATGACACCATGACATTCTCATGTTATTAAAGTTCTCACTTAAACAGTGTGTTTGTGTGTGTGTGTGTGTGTGTGTGTGTGGTTACACTTTATTTGAACGTATCATTGTTACAGTGTAATTATACATTTGAGTACTGAGTAAATTAACTAAATAACTACATGTACGTACTATAGGGTTAGGATTGGGGTTTGTTTTATGGTTAGTTGCATGTAATTCTGCATAATTTATAGTTTGTAACTACATTTAACACACAAGTAACAACAAGGACACTTAAATAAAGTGTTACCAAATATTTTTATATGTTTGATGAAACTGGGATTTTTTTCTTAAACTGATTTTAAAATTTTAACCTAGTAGACAATTCTCCTTAGATGTTTTCAGAATTTGTTTATCGACAACATTTTACTAGAGAGAACTGCACCAAAACAACCCTGTTTTAAAGTTTGCCCGTTCTTTTGGATTTGAATGAAAGCGAGTCTGATTTTCTTATATATTCCATACCCTTCAATTTTCTGCAGGGCTCTCAGAGTAGCATCTCCATGCCCTCCTCCTCCTCAGTACCCCAGAAGGACCCGACTGTGGCGGCCGCCACTGGAACAGGTGGAGCTTCGGAGCAGGAACGCAAACTGAAGCAATATTTGGAGGATGAGCGTATTGCTCTCTTCCTGCAGAACGAGGAGTTCATGAAAGAGCTGCAGAGGAACCGAGAGTTCCTCGTTGCGTTGGAAAGAGGTAGGAAGACACCCGCCCACATGCTAAATGGGACAATGTGCAGTTTCTGACATACTCCACTTCCCTTCCTTTCACAGTTCCACCTACACAAATCCTAAAGAGTGAATTCTTATGCAAATTTACTCAGCCCGGCTGTGAACGTTGATGGTTTTGGTTTCTCTCCGAGGCCATTAGCAGTGTCTATTCCTCACAGCAAGATTTTGATATGCTTTATCATGCTTTTCCACACAGATTGTTTGATTTACCTTGACCCTATGAGCGGTCCTCGTTGGATGACTTCATATCCATAACACCTTCCTTCTATGTTTTAGATCGATTAAAATACGAGTCAAAGAAATCCAAATCCAGTCATTCATCAGCTAGCATGGAGAACTCCACAGGTAGATATCATTCATCTGAACTGTGGTTGTGCATTTTTGCATGTGTGAGCATGTGCATCACGCTATATCTGGGTGAGGGTTGATATGTGAAGGACTAGACGCCTGCGCGCATACCTACAGACTGAACACATGAGGCGCCTGTGCGTGCTGTTTACGTTTTTGAGGTTTGCGCAGAGATAACAGATAATCGTTTGCACCTTTGAACCTATTTCAGGGAGTGCATTCTCGAGACACCAGCCACTGTTTTGTGCGGATGGGCGACAGGAGCGCGTTAAGAGTTTTTCTGTTAGAATGGTGTCATGTTAGCGGACCCTAAGTTTATAACTAATGATCTTCGCAACGGAAGTGAATCAATCAAAACTAACTTTAACTGGCCAATAACTTTATCCTCATGCTGTTGTAAAGCCTAAACAATCTGTTACGGTAATTTCTATTATAACTGCAAGGCTGCTTTGAAACAATCCCTACTGTTAAAAGCACTTTATGCTTATAGTTGGGTCATCTATAGCAGTTCCGTGACCGTGGAGATCGAAGGTTCGTTTCTAACTGAATTTGTCATCTATAAAGGTTAAAGGAAAAAATGAGCTGGGATGCCCCTCACAAAAATGTAGGGAAATTTTGTGAGAGCCCGATATCCAAAATGGCTGCCTTCGGCCAAGCTGGAAATGAACTTTTTAATGGTTTTGCGCATAGTGCTGCATAATACATGGTTTCTGAGACTATTTGGGTCAAGAAATTCATAAATTATGTACATTTATTGATTTGATCTATTTTTGACCTTCATATTCAAGATGGCCGCCAATTGGCTCTTTAAGGTTAGTAAGTTTTAACTTACAGATTATCACCATGAAACTTTACCAGTTGATCACTCACATGAATGGGAGAAAATAATTTCTGTAATTTTATGTTTTAAAATGCTAATCAGGGTATATCTATTTACATAGTCAGATTTGTCACTTCAAAATATATGCAAATTAGTGCCTATGAAATTATACCCTGATTAGCATGTTTAAACATAAAATTACAGAAAACTTGCAATACATTTTTTCTCCTATTCATGTGAGTAATCAACTGGTAAAGTTTCATGGTGATATCTGTAAGTTAAAATGTTTACCCTTTTCACCTGTAGTGGTGTCTCACCTTAAAGAGCTAATTAATGGCCATCTTGAATTTAAAGGTCAGAAATAGGTCAAATCAATAAATCCACATAATTTATACATTTCTTGACCCAAATAGTCTCAGAAACCGAAACCATGTATTATGCTGTGCAGCACTATGGGCAAAACCATTAAAACGTTAACTTCCAGCTTGGCCAACGGCAGCCATTTTGGACATCGGTCTCACACAAAATTTCACCACATTTTTGTGAGGGGCATCTCGGATAATTTTTTTGTCTTTAACCTTTATAGATGACAAATCCAGTGAGAAACGAACCTTCGCTCTCCGCGGTCACGGAACTGCTATAGATGACCCAAGTAATACACAAGTCAAGTCACCTTCATTTATTGGCTCTCTCATGTTTTTACTCGTGGATCTCTGATCTTGACAGACTGAACAGAAGAAATTAACCAAAAAAGATTTCCACACTGAAGAAGGCAGAGCCACAGACCACACCAATCGCCACCGACCAATGGTAGACTCATGTGTTTACCAGCCAGAATGAACTTTTTGCTTCGAAGGTCGCTTTTGCAAGCTGTTTCAAACTGCAGAAATGAAATTAGTCTGAAATTAGATCAAACCAGTCTGTTCTTTCGATTTCCTAAATTCTCAGTAGTAAAATCACCACTATCACAGTTATTCACATTAAATGGTAGAACGTGTAAAATTAAATATGTGACCCATTTTTGCAACATTTTTGTTGTAGACATCAAGATGCTTTTCTTTTTTCCCTTGAAACACAGGTGACCACTATGCTTCCGGATCTGTAGAGGCCTGCACAGCAGTCTCAGATGACGCTCTGTTCAGAGACAAGCTAAAGCACATGGGCAAATGTAAGGGTCTTACCTAAAAACACCCCAAAAATAATTGTTTATTAAAGATTTTACTTGTTGGACATTAACATTTCTGTTGAATTGTAACATTTCTGCATTCTGCAGCAACCAGAAAGAAGCTGTTTGAAATTGCCAGAGGGTTCTCAGACAAGACGAAGCGGAGGAAGTCTAAAAGAAGAACGTTGCTACGGCATCATTCGTATCCTTCAAAATGTGCCAGAACCACTTTAGCTGAAATTAAACAGTAGGAGGGCAAAAAATAAAATACTATGTGAAATCAGAATACTTTTAGAGCAAGCATGAAATAGAAAATATGAAACTAGAGGAATATGTTTAGAGTTATGATGCTTTGTTATTAATGTTGAACTCAGTGGCTCCCCTGTTTTGTGTTTAGCGACTTCCCCAACAAATGCTATTTATTGTTCTTGGCAAAGTCATTTTGGTTCAGTTTAGTTGAGTAAATTTAGTGTTGACTGTTTACTTTGACTGCACTTTCTCAGATTGGGCACAGCCAACTCCACTGCCAACCTCCTAGATGATGTGGAAGGAAACCCATGTGGTAAGACATTCCTCCAATTTTCCAAGGCAATTTTTCATAATGTCTGATTTACTCTTCTGCCATTGACAGAATTTTCTGGCAATCTATATTTACACTGTTATACTGTACAAAAGCGCTATTACCCATCTTTTGAAATAGTACAGAATCTCCGGATCAAAACAGGCAAAAGTAGTACTGTAGAAACGGGTGATAAAAGCATTGCTTATGCATATGTTGTAGTCTTTGAAAAAAAAATTCTCATAACAAGTTATAATTAATTATAAATATTTGGATCAGTTGATAGGATTAACTTGATTTTGCGGAATTAATACCACAATAAATCAACCCCATTTAACAACCTCAATCAACCTCGTCTGTTTTTAATCTAACACACCCTTCTTTAAAAGGGGTAGGGAATATGGATACTTAATGTATTAAATAATTAGACTAAGTTTGATACTTTCATGTCTCGCGGCTCACCCTTTTGAATAAAAGTGTCCTGATGCAATTTGCTGATGTTCATCCATCCATCCATCCATCTGTCATTAATTTAAAGGGATAATGTGTGGGAATTTCTCCTATCTAGCAGTGAAAATTTTCCTCTCCAGCGCCTCGCTTTTTCAAATGGGCGTTTCATCTTTGGTAGCTATTATGTACCAAAAATCTATGACAGGATGTCTTCTAACAGCACTTCGTTGAGTGTTCCTTCGGGTGAACAGGTGTGTTCGGGTGAACAGGTGTGCCTAGCACTTTTTGTCCCTCTCTGCTATTATAATTTTTCAAGATGGCAGAACTACATGGAAGCCTCCGTGGACCTCCCCGTCCCATGTATATAACGATAATCTCGTTTGTTTTCGAGGATAAGTCAGATAATTGGTAGAGGTATTTGTACACCATTGAGGACATATTTATGAATACAAATATTGATTTTAAATAATAAAATACATTTTAAAAAAGTACACATTGTCCCTTTAATAATTGAATGAGGCCATATTGTGGATTCAGTTAATTGTACAGTCCTGCTTTGGACTACATTTTTTTATTTGTGATGTCGTGGTGTGTCTTTCTAATCTAGATGAAGAAAGTCAGCTCAGACGATTGGCTGCACAGGAAGAGGAGGAGCCACGTAAGGAACCACTATCATGGTGAGTCGCTTTCCTTTTGCGTCCTTTTTTGTGTTTTCTAAACCCAACAAAAGGGGCTTCAGTGCTACTGATTAATCATCTCAGAGATGATATTCGTTCCAATAGTATATTAATCCTGCAACTGACATAGATATCGAGTTGTAATTAACCTCTTGCAAATGTCATTCCAGATCCCTCCTCTGTGCTCTTGGGAGATTAGGATTTCCATGGTGACCTCAGAATGACCCATGGCTGATAGCTCCTTATCTCAGCGGCTCCAGTGCAGGCAATCCCAGACTCGAGAGGAACAGCCCAGGCAGGACTGTATGCTCATTTTGTAGCAGCCTTTTGCAAGCCTAAGATTATTGTTACCTACATTTGATTACTATTATAATTATTGTATTGTAACTGTTTGTTAATATTTGGTTTCATACGTAAAACTCAACAGCTATAGTACTGATTTCTTGATGTATTTTTCTTTTTTATCCCTAATCATCTGAAAAGAAATTCCCTTTATGTTTGTTTAAAATATCAGTGACCTGAGGAGTTTCTTTCCCCATTTAAGTTTGATTTGACTTGTCACCGTTAGAAAAGAGGCAAATATTTGTTTTGTTACTGTCCAGAAGTGACACAACTGTCAGTTTCTTCAGCACATTAGTATATAACTATTTCTTTATTTTCAATGAACATTAATCTGCACATTAAACATCAACAGTATTTCCTCAACGAATGTATCCAGACTGTCACGTTTATTAATCAAAGGGTTTGGGTTTTCTTAGGGGTTTGTTTTCTCCTTTCTTAATCATTGCTATTAAGGAAAAAAACATTATTCAGGTCTCCATTTAGTGTGTTGTGATTTTAGGGTGCTAAATAGTCCATTTCCATGCTCCATTTTTACTTTTTTCATACAATTAAATCAATACAGAGTTCATTTAGATTAGAGTTGACCTCTCTTAAGGAGTCTCCGGCCAAGAAAGGCAATGCACACTGTCAATGCCAAAATTCGATTTCAGTCATTTTTACAGAAAAAGAGAAAGGCGAAACCAAAAAGTTAGCCCGCTTCTCATGTTTGCACTGCCATATCTGTTTTATAAAATGTCTGAATGTTTTTGTTTTGTTTTGTTTTTCTTTGTGAAAAGTGATTCGATCTGTTTTTTTGTTTTTTGTAATCTTAGAACAGGACAACCGGAGAAAATTTGTAATGATTCTGTCTTTGAAACAACCAAAACGCTGCTGTGTGCTTTGCTTTTTCTTGCAAATCACACTGAATGATTTACCCTAACCCTGTGCTTCCAGTAGGTCACATGACTATGTCATAAGGTCAGAGGTCTAACTGTGATCCACCAATAAGAATGTGCCATTGTTCCTTTTAGTGTTGTGCATCCCAGTATTGATTTAGTGTAAAGTAGCCTATTGGAGGACTTTGTGTTTTATGTATGTCAGATTGTCCAACTGGTCAATTTTTTGAAACCATCTAGTCACAGTATTATATGTGCTGAAGCACACTTTTTGGATTCCACCATGATACCGATACACTTCAAGCTCCTGAAATGGCCATTAAAACTTGCTTTTTTTGTTTTTAAAGGGCATTATGTACAGTATATAAAGTGTTCATGTCCATGTCACATATGTCCTTATATGATTTTTGCCATTATTACAGATTATATAGGTATCCATAAGCATCATCAATGACGTATATTTCACATACAGTAATTATATGTTCTGTGAAGTGTAATAGCCTTCATGAAATATGTGCCAGTGCAATGCATATTGGCACAATTTTGTTGTTGTTGTTTTTTTTTTTTATCTTTATGGATGGCACAGACTTTTTATGGACAAGTCAGTAATTAGTTTTGAAAATGATGTGAATTGAAAGAACAAAGGTTTTGTAAAAGCAAAACCTTGTTGAGAGTAGCAACACAAACCACAGAGCCTACGTTCCCAACGTTGTCATCTGCGATTTAGGGCAGGACTGTGCGATATTTCCCCTATCATCCTGCTTTTTAACATATTTATCCTCTCAGGGAACTTGCTCTCATTTCACTTTCTGCTTAAAGCACAACTAAAACTGAAAACTTCATAGCGCAGATACTCCGTTGATATGCAAGGTTGCGCCGTCTGTTTACTCGTCATGAGGTTGATATGAACAATTCAAAGACTGTGTGGATGATCTGCTTCGGTATGTGGCCAAGTTCCTTTTCTTGATCACGTGTCCTTGCGTGTTTATGTGAAATGTTTTCAAGATCTACTACTTCATCTTCTGTCTTTATATGGGAGAGATAGAGGAAGATGTGTTCAGAGAGTGCTGTGTGTGAGCCATGTGATTTTAAGTGGCTCTTAAAAATTAGTGGAATGTAAAATTTATACTGTATTAGAAGGAAATAACTGTAAATAGTAATTGGCTTTTTTTTTTTACAAAAAATATTTGATCTTGCAATTATTTTTTTTCAGTCCCCTTTCTTTTGAAGAAAATTATTCTCACCAGATTAAGTTGCCTCTTCCTCTATTTGTCCAAAATAAATGTGATTGTCCTGCATCACGTCATTCACTTATTTCAATTTCTGGACTTTTCTTGCAATCCAGATGTTTATTAGCTATTGGAATAAATAATACAATTGTTGGACTCTGTATGATCATGTCATTTTTTCCCCCAAAAAAGTAAAGTATTCAACAAAGAATCTAGGTAAGGTAGTCTACAGGAGAACATGGGAGTTGGTATCAAGGTAATGTAAATGATACATTGAAAAAAAATTTTAAAAAATAAACTTGTTGAAAAAAAACGTTAAACTTTGTGTGTAAAAGGATTGAAACCCCTGTTCTACATAACTGCAAACAGTAGAGGGCAGTACACAGTCTCTTATCATGAGTTTGTTTTTTCTCTTTGCTGCATTTTAAGGTTTAATTTACATACATTTTTCTTTTCAATTATTTACTATTCTTGGTTTATTACTTATGGCAGACCAGCCAGTTAGATGACCTTCCCTTGACCAACTTTCTGTGAACTGGTATTTCTTGGAATTACTTGGCAGAGGCCTATCCAACAACTCCATGCTCCCGGCTCCATCAGTTATCAGGCAAAGACTAAATAAAAACTTTCCACTATCAAGCATCAAGTGAGCTAACATGGCAGGAAAAACAAAGATTAAAAAAACTTCCTGTATGTAACACACTTATCTTTTTGTAACCTTTAAAGCAATAGTTCCCTTAAAATGATCATAAGTTACTCACCCTCAAGTTGTTTCAAACATGTATGAATTTCTTTCTTCTGCTTGAACACAACGGAAGATATTTTGAAGAATGTCGGTAAACAGACAGTTGATGTTGGCTAATGACTTCCGTGTTAGTGAAAGTTCTAGAAAACTGAGACGCGCGGCATACACAGATGTCATGTCTAGTTCGTTTACTTCAGAAAAACAACGACTGGAGGACTTGACAAGGCTGAATCAATAACGATATCGGCGTATAGGCTACTTATGTATACTTGAAGAATATCAGGGTGGGGTGCACATCATTGCAATCTTTCCAAATAAACACAAAACGGAATTAAGTGTTTTTCCTCATTATTTACACTTGGCATGTGATGTGTGTCTATTCATGAAAAAATAATTATTCAACAGATGATTCATACACGTTTGAAACAAATTGAGATAACTTGACAGAATTTTCATTTTTTTTTAAGTGAACTAGGCTGTTCCTTTAAGAAATGTCCTTCTTGAACACATACATCTGGCAAGAAATTAACATGGACTTCTCTTTGACCATTTGGTATTAATCCAAAACTCTTTGTCAATAATCATCCTTGCATATTGACTTTTTGACAGAAACAATCCCAATAGCTTTAACCACAGAAAAAGATAAACATGGAGAACAGACAGAACTGCATTCATGATAGATTATCACAACATTATAATCATACAATATTATTCTGTCACAGCTGTGCTGAATGTTCTGTCATGTATTCAAGTTCTTGATAAATTAAACAGAAGAAAGATTATTTGATGTACCAACCATTTTATAAAAGCATTGAAGGCTCCCCCCAAAAAATTAAAATTCTGTCATCATTTATTATTAAACCCTTAAGTTGTTCCAAACTGAGTTCCTTTCTTCTTTTGAGCACAAAATAAAGTATGAAGAATGTTGGAAACCAGACAGTTGACAGTAGCCTTTGACTTCCACACTTCCAGGTTTGGAACAACTTGAGGGTGAGTAAATATGACAAATTTGGTGAATACCAATCATTCTTCCAAACCATTTCTATAGATTTTGCTGTTTGTGTTTGCGTTTGGGTTTTTTACAGCTCTTACAACAAGTTTTACAGGAACCATGCTTTTAGCTCCCTCTATTTTGCCTATAGGAACACACTTTTTGTTTAGTCTTTGGCATCTACTGCTTGGATGTAGCTAGGAGTCTGCTGCTTGGATGTAGCTGGTTTCAACCCATTCTTAAGAGGTCAAAGCTTTAAAAACTGATTTCTCCTGTTAAAAGCTATTTTCTCCTGTTTCAGGACTTTGTAAGACACATGGCAACAGCTGACCTATTTTCTTGTTTGCTCAGTGTAGAAGTCTCTTTTATGTTAGAGTGCAATATTGTTTTTTCCCACCCATTTTGTTTCGAAGAACATCAGAGTTAAAAACAAAATTGGCTTTGAAACAATTTTAACTTAGAAATTTCTAGTAAATTTCACAAATAATGACAAAGACGGCAAGTAACAATTAATTAAATGTGAAATTTTAAAGGGTACAGACTGGGTATTTTCTTTTAAAACATACTCCAATAATTTGTATTTTATTTACAACTTTGAAAAATAATATGATAAAATAATATAGTCTACATATTGTATGGATTTATTGTAAGAAAAAAAAAAAAAAATAATATATATATATATATATATATATATATATATTCTTTTTATCCCTATTTATATGCAACCGTACCATTAAGGTGAAGATACAATTTGTATGCAACTGTACCATTATATATATTTTCTTTTTAGCCCTATTTATTATGCAACCGTACCATTAAGGTGAAGATACAATTTGTATGCAACTGTATATATATATATATATATATATATATATATATATATATATGTGTGTGTGTGTGTGTGTGGTCAATTAATCAGTGATTAATATTCAGATTTTTAAAAGTAAAATTCTGAAGAACAGTATAATTCTTTATATAACGCTGAAGACATCTGTAATTTAATTGTAACGGTATAACGTTAGAGAAATACTTTTTTTGTTGTAACATTGTAGAGCATTGTAAAACAATTATATACTAACAAAACTTTCTTTGTTCTCTAGATGCTTATGTGGAATTTATCAGAACACGAGCCATTACTGGGACAATGAATAAATAATAAAACAAAACAAATTTTACTTTAAATTACTGAAACCTATCAAGCTATTTCATCACCTAATTTGAGATTATGTTGCTCTTTCAGGGAGAAAAATTATTTCGCTTTTTCGTCACACTCCTTATCAGCACGTATTTCACGTTCATATTCTCGACTGTCCAGCCAATCAAAGGCCACGCGTAAACGGCTTTCGGCCAATCAGACAGCGGTGCTCCTCCGTTGCCTTGGCAACTATGACGTCGCTAGAGTATCCCGCCCATTAACGTGTGTGTGTGTGTTCGTGTTCAAAACCTTAGGAGGACGTTCGCAGCCATTATAATACACTGCATTCGAGCAGAGCGCTACGTAGTTTAAGGGACTAACGTTGGTCTATTATGCGTTAATTTTCTTTGTTTAATTGACAGTTTTATTAAACTCAAGTTGTAACGTTACTTCAAAGAACATAAAATTGTCTATTTTCAAAACAGTCGTAACGTTGAATGTAAATATAGGCAGCGTTGCGTCGACGTGCGACGCGCCGCATTCACTGGAGACACGCGAAAACTAGCTAATTCCTTTTGTCCCACGCAAACATTTTAGCGCCTTATTTCGTGAACCAAGAAGATTTCGATTGAAGAGACCCGCGTCGATTTAGATGGCAAGCTTCTCAGAATTTGTCAACGAAAATGAAATAGGTGAGTTTGGGGATTCTTTGCCACTGCTTTGAACGCGGGAGGGTAACGTTATTTACTCAGTTCCGTTTAAATGTCAAAAGGAAACGTCTTCCTTTTGAAACGTTTGTATAACTTACCGTATGTGTAATATATAACGTTAACGTTAATAACTTATTTTGTGCAGCTATGAATTGGAGTAACGTTGATCATTTCAGTGTTTGTGTCGTGGCTATATCATATTAACTCCAACGTATTACGTTTATTAAAATGTGACGGAAAAACATTGGCCGTTATTTTGATTGTTTAGTTGTGCGCGTGCTTTCTTGAGCCCCACGTCCACACACCCAGATTGCGTCGAACCCCTCCCCCACCGCCAGACCCTCAGAATGACTCACCAGTCACCACACCAGTGAGGCACCATGTGAACTACACGTTTACGTATATACTTTAATTGTATAAACCTAACATTTCAGGTGAAATAACAATTGTTACTTGTCTTTTTGTAAATTCTAATATTCGCGGCGTACTGATTCATATAGTTTCTAGTATCTATCATTAGTCACTATGAGGTAGCTACTAGTTTCTAGTCACTTTCCTGGTATAGAAAAGTAACTATTTTATTGATGCTGGTAAGAAATTGCTAATGTCACTGAATTCTGCAGGATTTGTGGTTCAGACATTAACTGATTACTAGTAAGTAGCCTAATGCATTGGAATAGTTAAATATTTACTATTGTGACAAGTACTAGTAACGTTACCTAATAAATAGTTAGAGAATTATAATATGATTTAGGGATGATTAACCCAAAAATTAAAATTCGGTCATTTACATTGGCTTTCATTCTTCTCAGGAGCATAAAAATATACTTTTTTGTTTTTGTGTACAACTGAAATCAATGGTAACCAAAACTGTTTGGTTACAAACATATCTTTTGAAAGGCATAGAATGGTCTAGAATGACAGGAGGGCAAGTAAATTATGAGAGAATTTTTTGAACGAACTATCCAATTTTAAACTATTTTATCAATTGAATATGTTTTTAATTTGCAAAAGTAGATGAAAATGCAGTTAAAATATAACTAGCTATGAATTTAAACATTTGCTGTAACAAATTAAACATTCTGGCTGGTTTCACTGATAAGGCTTAGATTAAACAAGGATTAGGCCTTAGCTCAATAAGGACATTTAAGTGACTTATAAAAAAAACATGCATTAGAAAAAACATTACTGGTGCTCATCTTGAGAAGATATATAAGTGCAAGTTGCTTTCAGTTAAACCAGCTCAAACATGCATTTTAGTCTGGGACTAGGCTTAAGCTTTGTCTCTGTAGCCAGGGGCATGTTTAGTAAAAAGTTTTAAAGGCTTGTGCTTTCTGATTTAAAGGCTTAAAATGTGCTTTCTTTTGCAACAGGTAAAGCCAAGTTCATCGGGGAACTCCTACCTCCAGTTGCTCCCTTTGACCAGAAGTCTGGACGGGAGACTTGGACTGTAGCTTTTGCACCTGATGGTTCTTACTTTGCTTGGTCTCAAGGGCATCGAATAGTGAGACTTGTACCATGGAAAAATTGCTTAGCCAGCTTGTGAGTATACACAATTATCTCTTTTTCCCTCTATGGTGAATTGTTACAATACAGCTTGTTTGTTGATGGACTGACAAAAGCAGTCTACGCGTGTGCTGGTTGTCTGGTCTGGTCCTCTGGGCTTTCACATGGTGCCCAGTGTTTGGGCTTGTTTAGCATTCAATGGCACTGCCACAGTGCAAGTCATCTCACCTTTCCTGTGGATTTAGAGACCACTGTCGAGCATGCAGCCCTGCCAACCAGCCTTTGTCCTCTTCTGAATGTGAAGTCCTCATAATGAGCTTTACGTCATTGGCCTTTGGCTGCATGCCTTGAACTTCGCAATTTTGGGGCTGTTTGTTTACTTTCCTCTTTGCCAATATAAATGTAAATAGAGTTGGCTGCAAAATGATCTATCCTAACTTTTCTTTCCACAGTCAGTATATTAAATGTTATTCTGCTTTTCTGGGGGGAAAAAATATATAGTGCTTTTATTACAGAATTTTTCTGCTCATGCTAGTACTAGTAGCCTTCATAAAAACACCAAAACTATCATTGCAACCTGAACCATGCAGACACGGTCAAAATTTAACAGAGAATTTTTACAATAGTTTGAAGTAAAACAAACAGTTTTTTTTTTATATTGTCTCCATAAAAGAGAAGTATGGTATTGTAAAACTATTTTCGGTCGTTGTACGTTTAAGTGTAGTAACTTCATTAGTAGTTGTGCACACAAAGGATATTATGTGGCAGCTGTTAAATGAATTAAGTTAGGAAAGGAACTAAAATACAGAAACAATAAGGAGAAATGCAGTCAGGGTTACTGTAGTTAACTAAAACTATAAAGTTGTTACCTCAAATAAAATAAAGAACTTGTTTCAGGTAGTTGCCTAGGCACCATTGCTCATTTTTGTTTAGTTGAGCTTGATGCACTATTATAACACATTTAAAAAAGGATTAAAAAAAACAAACATGGGGAGTGAGTAATGACAGAGTTTCCTTTTTGAGTGACAGTTCCTTTACTGTTAAAGCAGAAGGAAGCCACTGTGCCATTAAAAAACTTGAGTGGACGTGTCGGGCATTATTTGTTTCACTTCTGCAGTGCCTGCTTTTTTTTCACACAAAAACCTCTTGTAATTACTACAGAACCTCACAGTTTCATGACCAAGAGCTTGTAGAATTAGGTAAGGCCGTTAAATCGGTCAAAGTTGACGCAACACTTCTGTAATCTCTTAGGCTGCCTGGGAATTTACTTAGTGTTCAAATATTCCTAAGAGTTAAAATGTTCAGCTTATTTCAACAGACAATGTACTAGGTAACCTTTTGAAGACAGACGTAAAACATCCTCTTGCTTGTTGTTAATTTATCTAAGAGAATTTGTTGTCCGTTTACATCAGGCAGAGGAGGCATGATTTTCATACCAACAACAGCAATATTTTTTTCCTCTTTCCCTAACCTTAGTTCTGTAAGGAAGGAAGATCGGTCGAGTGGTGCAGGTCCTCAAAGACTCTCCCCGCAGAACACTGAGGGCAGTCTGCTACCAGGCGAGCCCAGAGAGCACACTATCGACTGTGGTGACATTGTGTGGGGCCTGGCCTTTGGCTCTTCTGTTCCCGAGAAGCAGAGTCGCTGCGTTAATATCGAATGGCACCGGTTCAAGTTCGGACAGGACCAGTTGCTGCTTGCCACCGGCCTCAACAATGGCCGTATCAAAATCTGGGATGTCTATACAGGTGAGGGTCCTTTCGGGGTGTCAGACTCAAGCATCACAGGCTAATCTAGTTAAAGTTTAAGCAACTGGAAATTTAGTATTAGTGAGGTTGCGGGTCATGTGGTATTAACATTTGTCCTGGTGACTTTGTTTAAACTTTACATAATCCTAATAATTAATACTATTAAACAAAGGTAGGACAATGTGTTTATATTAATCATCTGAGTCGTTGTTGTTTTTTTATGTTTCTGTGCTGCTGAGTTAATGTGTTTTAGAAATCATATTCCACCCATTCTGTCCTCTTAACACTTCTCTATGCCCACTTCCTGTTTTTCATTTTCCCAACAGATGTGTGTGTGCGCACTTGTGTGTAAGAGAGAGGGGAGGTGGTGGTTATATAAGGTGTTGACATGATCTTAATCGCACTTCCATCAATGTTTTCCAAATGTGTTCCTATGCACCTGATAATACTGTTTTGTATTTTTATGCAGTCGCCAGTCGGTAATAAATAATTTCGTACATATTTGCTTAACCATTTAGGTGCTCTCTCCCTTTTATAATACATCTCTCTATTTTATTAACCTTTGAACCGCTTCACCATTTGCTCCTTGGCCACTGAGGTTCTGCTTTTGTGCTCTGATCAGTTTTCACAGTTCTAATGGTAATAACGTGTAAATCTGCAATCGGAAAACCTAAAACTGAGAGGTAGTTGTTGACTTCAGAGAAAACTGGCTGCTCTTCGAAGTTATATAATTATTCACTCGGCTGCAAAATGTATTAATAGGTGGGAAGGTCCTGTACACACATTGCCATTGGTGGTTCTGAGGTGATAGAGATGTTTTGTTCAGTTGTTGACTCCACCTCCCTGCGAACTAAAAAAGCAATGCCATAAATTTACCCAGCAGACTTGCTCTTTTCTGGGTAAGAGACTCCTCCTCCAGCAGCCTTTATTTTTTTCCCCTTTTTGAAAACATGCTGGAAATCTGATAGTAGTGTTTCCTAAAGTATCTCAACAGGATTTGTGCCATATATACCCTTCATTCACGTAGCTTAGTGAATGCCTGTTATCACGTTTGACAGGTTGCAAATAGGCCCTGTTACTAAGCCTTAATCATATTTCCAGAAATACGTGTGTAAGATTTTTCTGTTACTGTAGGCGCAGCTAATTGTAGGGATTTAAAATGGCTTAGGCTGGCAGGTGTCAGTGATTGTACTTCCATATGCCTCAAAGCAATTCAATACTGTTCACTGTGTAACCTACTGTGTTTCTGAGATGCCTTGGGAAATGCCTTTTTGACACCTACTTAATAAGTGTAAAGCCACAAGCATAATCTTTCTCTCTGATTCTTAAGAGGACAAAACTTTTTCGAAAAAATGAAATGAAATGTGTGTGAAATGCAGCTCTCAATGTATTCATATTGATGCAATTTAAATTGATTAGCCTATGCTTTGTGCTTTAGTGTTGTAAGACTGGAAAAACTGGTTAAAGAGAAAATATCTGACCAGTGGCCTCTAAAGACAAAAGGCATTGCTTGCAAATTAACATTTGACACCCTACCCCCTATTCTCTGAACATCTTATCTGCATCTTCTCTCTTTCACTCTCTCAGTCAATGATACTGAAAGCTCACAAATGTGAATCTGATAATCTTTAAGGATTGTTTAGAATCGTTTTGATGGTCTCAGGGTGACTGGTAATAATGTCTCATTCCCAAAGTAATAAAAGAAAAGGTAATAAGGTTTTTAAGAAGTTTAGGAATCACTGTCACACAAAGGAGTGTGGTCTTTGAGTTAACACCTTCTGCCTTGTTGTCTGAATGCAAATTACAACCAAGCAAATGGTCTGCCCCCGATAAACATGGAAGGGGGATTCAGTAACTTTCCATTGAAACCTGGGGCCTCATGCATAAAACTTTGCGTAGATTTCATCCTTAAAGTGTGCGTACGCACATAAGGCAGAATTTGCGTACGCACAAAAGTTTTCAGATTTATAAAACCGTTCGTACGCCAGAACCTGCGCAGAATTCACTTTATAAATCCCAGTCAGCGGGAGATTATGCGCCGTGCGTCTCCTCCCCGAAATAACCATATATGGAGATTACAACGCCTAGTTTTACTATGTATATCCTCATCTGCATATCATTTGCATATGATTATTCATCCACGTGATACCAAGTTTAACGGTACAAGACGTTAGGAAAATATGAAATGCGGATGTGCCGTCACATTATTACAAACATTTTTTTTTTTTTGTAGCCTATATCCTTGCCTTGTTTTTGAATGAATAAATCAAATAGTGTTAAATACATTTCAGAGAAAGTTTTTCTCAATCTTTTCCACTGGCCAAATAGTATTTTTAATTGATTTATATTTTAATGGATAATGGAAGAGATTTTAATGGAAGAGATAGACATGGTTGTGCATTATTTGCACGAAACAGTTTTCTCAGACAATCTCTAGTTAAAACATTAAAACACAGCATGCCAGAAGAAAAGTGTTCAAAAGCAATGTATCCACAACAAATAGGTCTATTTCTATTTATTGAATATATATATATATATATATATATATATATATATATATATATATATATATATATTGTAACTTCTCAGTAATGATTTCATGTAGTTTAAGAGTTTAACTCCATTAATGAGAATGGCATATTTAATCTAAATGTTTATATCAGAAGTAAAACATAGTAGGCTACCATTCTTTTATTTATTTAAACTATTATTGTGAATATGGACTGTATTTATGATTCGGACTCATAATGAAGATTTACGGTTTTACTCCATCTGCCGTTAGATTATAGGCTATATGTGCGTCAGTTTCACCAAACGGCCCAACGCGCGTGCTGGCGCGGTCATTTAAGAAGGGATGGATGTTTGCTTCAAGTGATGATAGGTTTGTGAAATTATATTTGTATTATCTTTCTGTAGATGTATAATTTTCTTTAGATTCTCTGTCTAATAGTAAGCAAAAAGACATTTGACTCCAGCTCACCATCGGTGTCGCCAAAACCCATAATCTTCTAAAAGAATGCGTACGCACGGTCAAGAGCATCCTTACGGTGCGCACTTATTTACGCCAAGTTTATTTTTTATAAATCCCGATGTGCACGTGGAAAAATGCGTACGCATATTTCTATGCCCATTTTTGTGCGTACGCAACGTTTATACATGAGGCCCCTGGTGATTAACATATCAGTTAAGGTCTGGCTACTTAAGGGGTGCAGCGGGAGAGCTCGGGGCTGCTTTCTGTGTTCAGATCAGCCCATGATGTTGTATCTTCTCAGCTTATGTAGCCTAATATGTTGGGTAAAGTTCTTTGTTCTTTGAAACATTTAATGGTTTGCTCTGATTATCTTGTGGAATTCTAATGATACATTTACCTGACATAATAAATTGTTATATTTGGCTATTCTAACAGACTTTGACTTTATTTTCATTAGAGTTAAAAGGAATAGTCAAGCATTTACGTATTTAATGATGCACAGATATCATTGATAAACCCTTTTCATTTTATGGAGTCAGATGAAACGATTTAATACATAAGATTAAATGTGTTGCATTTAATTAAAAAACACTTTGCTTGGAAAAGACGGAACGCGCTTGAAACCTTCACCACGAATCGAACTCTTTGGACCGATTTCGTGGACCTTTTTACAGTGTTTATCCTCAGTTTTGTTTTCGTGTGTACAGGAAAGCTACTGCTGAACCTGATGGACCACACAGACATTGTGCGGGACCTGACGTTTGCCCCAGATGGGAGTTTAGTGCTGGTTTCTGCATCAAGAGACAAGACCCTACGCGTGTGGGACCTCAAAGATGACGGTGAGGAGGAACAAATGCTGATTTTTTTTGTAATTTGGCACATTGTAATAATTTGTACAGTAAAATGGCACAACTTTAAGTTCTTTACAAATTAATATTAACATGCTATATGGTGTGTAACCCCAAACTGAGAAGTCTTTGCAGTTGAAGTTTCCTGCACTGCAGCCTGCTTTGTTTTAATTTTCATCTGATCTCCATGGAGTCCATCACACATACTTGCTCAAGTCTGCATGTGCACACTCACTCAAAGATTCTGGCACCTGGGTTGAATGGATAATTATTAGTTGCCTAGCCCAAAGGAATGTTTACTGGTTTAATGATATTTTCTCTTCCTTGCAAAATCATAGGATAAACTTTCTTTTATAATAGGATCAAATGAATCTTATTTATGTGCTGGAAACTGATAGATAAAATGGAGCTCACTGCATTTGCTAACAGTTTTTTCTTTAACTAATCATAAAGGAATGTTGGCCAGAGTTCAGCTTAATATTCTCTGGTCTCAAAGTGGACACCAGATTGTGAAATTCAGCTACTAGCTAAAGTATGTTTGTTTTATTGTTCTTTAGGCATCAACATCGTTTATCTATTGTATTGTAGAATATTGTACAGAGATGCTGGAAAGGATTACTTCTGCAGTATTTGTAATAAGCTTATCTTTAAATGTAACAAAGTATTCTTAACATTCTAGTTTTGCTATGAAATAATTTGATAACCAGCTAAACATTTTAACAGAAAGCTATCTAAAGCTATTGCTATACCCAAACAATCTAAATTGTTTCTCCAATAGGTAACATGGTGAAAGTACTCCGTGGTCATCAAAACTGGGTCTACTGCAGTGCTTTCTCACCTGATTCATCGGTCCTTTGTTCCGTAGGCGCAGGCAAAGCGGTATGTTTTGCAGTTCTTTCCTCCACTTTATTACCTGTTTGGTGTGTTTCTCTCTGTTAATAGTTCTAAGACCAATCAATGAGTGCTAAATGAATCTTTATATCATCATAATGCTCAGTGCCATAACCTGCTTATATAAACCCTGCTTATTTTGATTTCTTTTTTGTTGTTTTTCAAACAAATGGGTACCTGATTATTGTGCATGTTGCTAGAAATGCAAAAAACTCACAATTCTCCCCCATTGTTCTATTAATAACATGCTAAGACATGCACGATATACAGTCCTTTTATTAAAACGATTTGAATAAGATGTATAATGACCCTCGACAGTAGTAATGATTTTCCCATGTACATAATAATTTAAAACTCTGGGATCAACTGGCATCAAGAACTTTTCAAGCGCTTAAAAGTGTGGGGTCAGTAAAAAAAAGTTTAAAGAGATATTTACTTTTATTCAGCAAGGTGCATTTAATTGTGACCGTAAAGATAAAGTGACAATAAAGACTGGATTAATGGTGCTGAAAATTCAGCTTTGCCATCAAAGGAATAAAATGGATTTTAAGATGTATTAATATAAAAGAGATTTTTTTTATTCTAAATAGTTTTTTTTTAATCAAATAAATGCCACCTTGGTGAGCATAAGTATGGAACCCCTAAAGGGAATTTTGCAAAAATAAAAATATACAGACTTTCACATGCTCACAAGAAACTATCGTGTGCTCACATGAATAGTTTTAACGTGAAAGTTTCTTGTCTTGAGGACGTAGTTGGACATATTTGTCATGCTGGTTGCATGTGACAGCCCTTAAGGCACAACAAGCAAAGTTTTCCAGCCGTCAATAAGACGTCTCTGAAACCAGGACGAGTCTTTCTGGATCCTATCTAACTCTCCTCCCATGAACAGGCTGCAGTGGTTGAACTTTATGGTTGTGTGTGTCCATAAGTGTCTTGCTTTCCCTGTCCCAGGTGGTGGCAGAGCTCTGTGTTTGAGTGATTTTGAGGGAAGTGCCGCGCTGACATATAGAGCAGCCGGTGCGGGGCACGGCTGCCATCGCGGCCCCCGTCGGACGCTCATGTGCCCGTGCCCACGCCCCAGGGGCTTCCATGCTCCTGCCCACAAGGGCTTCCTGTACGTAGGTTCTGCTCCATGTCTGTCTACCTCCCGCTGTCACAGTTCTCACTTTTTTTACCTTGTCTCTCAAAAGAGTTGACAGTGAGATCCCCCTCCTCTCCTACCCCCTACCTCCCTTCCTAATTTCCTTCCATCTGTGTTCGGTAGCATTCCTATCATCTCCACATTTACCCTAAAGCAGGAGATCTAGGCATTGTGTCTGCTGTATGTGTACACAAGCCAGCCAGTAGAGCCCCTTCCTACTCATTAGTGCCTTTGTTAACTGAAATCACTACACCCTTGAGTTGCCACGCTCAGCCGCTGGTCAATTTTTCTGTACGTGTAATGCCTAGTCAGATGTTTTTGTAATGGGGTTAATAGTTGGGGGAGGGTGGGAGCATTGGGAGAATTATTTGTATGTGTGAGCAATGAAAGGGCTTCTTGTGCCTCAACAAGCTGCCTTTATATCGATAATGTCAGTCTAATGTGAAATTACTCCGATCAGGAAAATGGGCTACACAAATGTATCATTCCCTGTTACTTCAAGCCACCAGAAGCAAGACCTGTGGGTACTTTCCATGCTGGTTGCAATTGCTATTTAAAAGTACATTTTGTTTTCTGTTTGTGGATAACCTATTAACTACCTACAATAGTTAAAATTGCACTTGTACAACTTTGATAAATTAATTATTAGATAAAAATGATCTATTTCCCAGTCACTCCAGAAAAAAAAAAACGTGATTTACGATGGCATGATTTAGTGCATAATCAGCCTAAATCTGCATATTTATGCAGGGGCCACATTTTTTCAAATACACAGCACTTTCGCTGCACAAATTGCCGATTTCTGTGCAAAATATTCGAGGCCTGCATGATTTCCTAATCCTCGCATTTTCGTTGCAAAAAAAGGTCCGATCTTAGCAGAAAGTTGAAAAATGTTGCCTTTCCTTCACACAAACAGACATTTCCCCATGTTACCATGGGAACATTGTGAAGTGATGTAATTATTTGATGTGAACATCATCGAAAAGCAGTAAAACAGGAGCACACTATTTTTTTATTTATTTAATTTATTCATTTTTACAGAAGTTGTTGCATATTCCTTTTGTAAAGCTGCCAAACTTGTTTGACTCATCAATGTTTTATAAGGTTGTGTTTATTAAGGTCTTGTAACGCATTGTGTCTGGAAGAAAAATAGGGATATTGCAGAGGCCAGACAGACTCACGGAGGCGATTGGCATCTCATAATGCCTAGTTCACACTACATGATTTTAAAATGTCGGGCTGAACTGTGCAGTTCACACTACATGACTTGCTCTCAGTGAAATCATGAGTGTTCAAGTTGTTTAGCTGTTCACACCACACAACACAACGTGATTGATCCACAACAGGAGGTAACTCACTACACGAGTTAACAACGCACTACATAGAGATACAACCACGATCGGATGATAAGAGCATATAATTTGTGACTCAATGAGAGCTGTTTCAGTACTATAATACGGTCTAAATCCTGAAAATAATCAAACAAATAACGAGTTGACAACAACACGATTCTATCTGGTCTAGAAACCATGTTTTGTAACGAAAAACCACGCAATAAAACGAACCAGAAATGACGCGAAACTGCAGAGAAGAACACAACACGCGAATATGGACGTCAGACAGAAACTAGTGCTGCACGCTGTTTGCTCGACGATCTGCTCTGAGAAAAAAAATGCAAAAAAGAAAAAGTAAGATTTACCTGGTGTCCTCAACCCATGCGTTGCTATGATTGGCTGTACTCATGACATCACTGAGATTGAGTCGCGCAGTCATGCTAGATATTTTTCTGAGCTCGGTGACCTGTCTGCGAGCTGTCTGCGAGCTGTCTTTGATGCGTTGTTGGCTCTTTCACACTAACTGATTGGCGAGCGTTAATCGTCCGCTAATCGCCCGCGATTTGCACGCGATAACACCCTGACTTGTCGGCGACTCAACGATTTGCAAATCGGGCTTAAATCGGGCTTAAAATCACGTAGTGTGTGTGAACTAGGCTTAACTCACACTTTGTTCCCTAATCGAACTCGTATAACTGCCTGTCACACGTTCTACCGTCCACATCGTTACTTAAACAAAATAAGATCAAAAGTAGCATCAAACAGAAATTAACCACACACAGGGTGTTCGAGGCAAATACAATATAATACTGCAGGCAGTTCAACAGGGAGCGCGCATCTCTTAAAGGGGCCACACCTTATTTTCACTCGTTACAGTCTGAAATAAAACAATATGAGAAATTAAATATTCCCACTTCCCAGCACTTTCTATGATGTAGTAAAGGAAGTAATAAGAAAGGACTCTTTACTTTAAGGTAGTAGTGTAGTGAGAACAGGTGTTGGGGGAATCACTTTTTTTTCTCTTTCATTAAACCTTGAATTGCATAAATATCCCGCATATTCCAACGCGGTTTTAAAGAGGCCGCAATATCAAGGATTTTTGCCCACAATAATCACCCCAAAAAATTGTTTTTCTGGAAGGACTGATTTGCAAGATATCTGGCTTGGTTTGCTGGCAGTCATGCACCCTGAAGCCCTTTCATCGCACGTTGCAAAGTTAGAGAAATTGGTACATTAGCCTTGTATACGCACCATTGTAGTTTCTCCACCAGCACCAAAATGTTTATATTGCAAAAATCTATTGAATCATAAGTACACTTTTGCTCAAGTGCAATGACTATAGCTGATAAAAAATTAAAAAGAATATTTTCTTAATATTAATAACATTCAGGAAGCTTGACTACTTGACACTCAGAAATACACTGTTAAGGTGTGGTCACATTAGTGAAATTTTGCGGTCAACATAGGTGCAAGCCTGTTGTCAGATGAAGCAGCTTTCTATTCCTGTTTTTTTAACCTGTTGTGGAATCTATGCAAGAATCTTTTGCCCACACTCGATTTCCCGATTGCATGAATTCTCATTGAAATTACTAGATTTCGTCCATGAAAATTTGCCAACAGCATGTGACCGCACCTTTACATTTTCTAAAATCATGATAATTTCTAAAATTGTGCTGGAGCAAAATAAGCACTAGAAACGCATTCATTAGTAGAGTTTGCAGTTGTGACCTGTCTGTATTGTGTGTTTGCCAAAGGCGTAAACCTTTTGGCCATCAAATGTTCTCTTCTTTTGCAGTATCTGTGTCTCTTCGTAGGCCTCCGCCGGCGCGGTGCAAGCCTATTGTAAACTCAAGTGAACTAAAACTGAAAGGGGATGCCAGTGGAGTAACATTATGTTACCTTAAGTTACTACTTATTTGTATTTTTTATTTTTTTATTTCCAGATTATGTAGTAATTCTTGGAAAAATGTTTTAATAAATATAATTTGATATGTATGTTTCAATGCACATTTGTAGCTTACATTTTAATTTAGAAAAATTGAGCAGTGATGTAATTTTTAAGTCTTGCTAGAGTTTTGTGCAACTAAGCCTTGCTGTTTCATTGGCATGTGCTACTTTTTACTGGGTTTGGTTTGTAGTGCTTAAGATTTTGCTTAAATCACACTGAGCACATTTTGATGTTGCTGTTTAATTTGAATTTAATTATTTGTTTGAATCTTTTGTCTCTGATCTGTGTGGGAAACACAGTTGGCTATAACACGCATTTCTTCCATTGCAGGTCTTCCTGTGGGACATGGATAAGTATACTCTGATCCGAAAGCTGGAGGGCCATCATAACGATGTGGTGTCCTGCGAGTTCTCTCCTGACGGGGCCTTGCTGGCTACCGCCTCCTATGACACTCGTGTCATAGTGTGGGACCCTCACACAGCCACTGTTCTGTTCGAGCTGGGGTATGTGACTTGCTTCCACGTCTTTTCCTTTCTAAACTTGGTGCTTGGTGTGGTAATTTTTCAGCTCATGTTGTTTTGCTGATCTCTTCTCTTCCCTTCAGGCATCTCTTCCCTCCTCCCTCACCCATATTTGCAGGAGGAGCAAATGACCGATGGGTTCGCTCCGTTGCCTTTTGTCACGACGGTCGGCACATTGCCAGCGTCACTGATGACCGGTAAGATTATGCGAATCGTTGGTTATTTGCTCTTAAAAGCTCAATGTTAATAGTTCGTTTGCAGTTAGTTGCCTGCATTAAGCGACGGGCTCAGGAAGGAATGTGTGATTTGTAGCAGGGCCTCTTCCTGGGAAAGATCACATGCCCTCTCATATGACATCCATTAATCACTATGAGCCGCCCCATTTGCCTTCGCCACACCTCCTGCTGATTCTGGATGGAGGCGTCTCTTGTACTGAGAGAATGAAACCATTTGTGCTCTACAAAATGGTGGAGAAAGAACGTTACATTACTTCATGTATGATTTATTTTATTTTTAGATTAAAGTTCTCTTATGCTCACCGAGGCTGCAATTATTTGGTCATAAATAGTAATATTGTGAAATATTATAATATCAGATGCTTAATTTAAAAATGTATTTTGGTAAAGCTGAATTTTCAGCATTATTACTTAAGTCTTCACTGTCACATAATCCTTCAGAAATCATTCTAATATGCTGATTTGATTCTCAACAAATGTTTTTTATCGGGGTTCTTTTTTTTAATGGCTTTTATTTCAAATAAAAAATAATTTGTAACATCATAAACATCATTTATGGTTTTCTTTTATTTTAAAATTTAAAATGTTTTTTTAAAGAAATTAACTGAGCCTGAATGTTAGTGTATACAATACACTATTTGAATATAAGTTTTTTTTAATATTAAGTTTTGTCTAATTTTATACTGTCCTTAATTGAAATGTCATACTTTGAGTTCCCTTTTCGAACGGTCACTTCGTATTGCATATCTATATGCAGTGGAAAACTCATTTCTTGATTTACTGAAACCTGTATGTTAAACGCATTTGCAGCTGCAGAGCTACCCCGTCTGGCTCGCTCATAGACTGTGCTGCAGCAACTGCACATCACAACCGCCTTGTGCGCTCCCCAGCTTCTTCCCTCGACGGAAGAAGCGCGCGGCTAGGTCTCTTTATGACACGAGAGCTACCCCGCATTAAAAATACACAATGTGCTTGCGGCTAGCTCTCCCTCGGGACAGCAAACCGCCTCAAGTACGCCCACTTTTTCTTCCCTCGTCGCCTCGATGGAAGAAGCGTACGGGTAGATGTTCGAGGTAAGAGGTACCCAGCCCTCTGCACATCACACAGAAGAGTGTTTTCTAACTGAAATGTTCTTTCATGCGTTTGCCCGCTTCCTTCCCTCATTGAGCAGCGACAGGAGGAGCGTGCGGTGAGATGTGCTCGCGGTTATTTCTCTTTACGACACTGTTCATCATGCCGCACACTATCACTGCAATCAGTGCGCCCGCTACGAAGCGTGGGCCACCACAGATAGTCACTGCTCTAAATCCCTTGACACTTCTCACAGTTCCCTGTCTAACTCAGGCGGCGGGAGATTTTATCAACAGGTCAGCTGCACTGAGTGCACCTTTACAAACAAACGCTGTTGTCACGGCGGCCCCCTCCCAGTTGTTACGCTGACTTTCCCCCAGGAAAAGGCCTTTGCAGTCAGTCCAACACTTGGTATGTGTACAAATCAGAATGTAAGGGTATTAGGTCCCCCTGTGTTAGGCGGCCCATCCCAGACAAAAGACTTCCCACAGATCCCCGTTCAGTTCAGGCGGCTGGGGATTTTATTATTGTAAACAGGCCCGCTATAGTGAGCGCGTCTTGACAAACAATAGCCGTTTTCACGGCGAACCAAGTAAAGTTAAAAGATCATGTTTTACAAGCACAACACATGGGTTCACAGTCCCCCTTCACTAGGCAGCCCCTCCCCTGTTGTAACACTGACTCCCCACACGCAAATCCCTTTACAGTCAGTCAAACACTCAATGTATGCACAAATCACATTATAAGGGTATCAGGTCCCCCTATGTTAGGCGGTCTGTCCCAATCAGTGTGTCAGTCCCTAGAAACACGGTTCTAGCCTGTTCTATCCCTGATGTGTCGAGTTGGGCCATAAACACTAAAGTGAGGCTACTCGTTCCAATTCACTCGCAGACCCCCAAAGTTTCAGGCGGTTATCGAGACCTCGGTGAGAAGCGATGTGGGTCACGTGCTTAGCTACGAAGTGCAGAATTTATTAGCAAAAGCTACAATAGAATTAGTAAACACAGTTCAGAGCAAAGGTGGTGACGTTATTGGCTCTTCACCCTTCTGCGAGGATGGGGAGGTTAATCTTCTCTGCTTTGTTAGAGCGCTGAGAATTTATCTGGAGCATTCTGCGTCGTTTGGACGATTAGAACAGGTTTTTGCTTAATCACTGAATCCCCTTTGGATCGACCACCAAAGACTGTCTAAATGGTTAGTGGAGACTATCGTGATGGCTTATACCTCAGTGGGTCATGTTTGCCCTCTTGGTATCAGGGCCCATTCGACCAGTGACATGGCCTCGTCATGGGCTTGGTCATTTGGCTGTCCCATTCAGGATATTTGTGATGCGGCCGGTTGGTCCTCACCTTTTACATTTGAAATTCTTTAATATGGAGGTGCCTTCCCTACAGGCGAAGGTGCTTTCGATATGATAAGGGCTCGAATGTGTCCGATCCTGTGATTAATATTACGGTGCACATTCACCGCTTTGGCTGGTTTTATTGTCCTATACTATTAACCCCGACAGTGTCTAGGTTTATTAGTGTGCTATGTTGGTGATTACTGACTCGGATGTATTATTTTATACCTGACTGTGTCTGGTCTGATGTATACATGTTAGGATTATGGCTTGTTTTGTATGCTCAGGGGTCCTGAGCTGCAGTGGCAACCAGTTACCCAGCATAGCATTCCCACTGCTTATAGCTACGGAATACGAAGTGACTGTTCGAAAGGGAACTACTTGGTTACTCGCATAACCTCAGTTCTCTGAGTTAGGGAACGAAGTATTGAGTAGCCGGACTATACTCTCACTGGCTAGTTGTCGCTTCAGTTGTATAAACCTGCTATAATGACGAATTCGGGGACTAATATAGGCTGAGGCCACGCCCCTTGATTGTATCTGATGTGTAATGATGTAGACAGAGTGATCTCATTGGTCGCACAACTTTGTTCAATACGCAATACTTTGTTCCCTAACTCGGGGAACTGAAGTTACGGGAGTAACCAAGTGGTTTTTATGCTTTTTATGCTTTAAAATTACATTTGTGAGACAAAGCAAACCACAGTTGTGAATAAGTCAACCGTATTTTCATTTTTCAGGTTGGTGCGTTTCTGGAGCATCGATGAGAAGAGTCCTCAAGCCATTGCCCCTCTCACTAATGGCCTCTGTTGTGCCTTTTCTACTGACGGAAGTGTTTTAGCTGCTGGGTACGAATCTGTTATTCCACTGCTTGGTGGAGACTAGTGTTGCTACATAAATGATCAAATCTGTGTCTTCGGTCTTGCATTTCTTGCTGTTCTTTTTTGTGATGATGCCAAAATTAATTTGAATCACACTTGCTTGTGTCTTGAGCAATCCATTTAAAAAAATTTAATAAAATCAGATTCTGCAGCTTTCTTTGTATATATGATTTTTAGTTTTTATTTAATTTTTTTCCCGAAGAGATGGCTTTAACTCATACTTTTCTGCATGACATTTCAATTGTCTAGTACTGTACAAACACAGCAAGGCCCAGTTTGATCATGATGTTTGAGTTTACTAAAACAGTAGAATGTTTCAATGGCAAGACGAATACACTTAAATCCTTCTGTTCGTTGTCTTCTTGCAGGTCTCGTGATGGCAGTGTGCATTTCTGGGCTTCCCCACACAGCATTGCGAGCCTCCAGCACCTGTGCCGTATGACCCTGCGGCGAGTCATGCACACCCAACAGGTTTATACGCTGCCCATTCCTTTCTCCATGCAAGACTACCTGGCCTACAAGACACTTTAACATGGAACACAAACCACGGCACTCTGTGAAACCAAGGAAAATGTTTGTTTGTTTGTTTTGTTTTTTTAAGATAAAAATGCTTTTCTGTTCATACAGACCCCCTGAAGTAGTTGAGGTCAGTTCTTTTTGTATTTATTTATTTTTTTTTTTTATTTTGAAAATGTACTTTTTTCTTGTTGCAGGCATATTTCAGTACTTTTTATTTGAGTGTTTTCGTCTTTTTTCCCCCCCATATCAGGTAGTGGCCTTCACAGACAGCCTTAATATAGCAGCGGACCACTTTTTGTCCTTTTGATTTGCATTTCTTTTTTTTTCATCTGGCACAACTTGTACATCACCTGAGAGTTGATAAATGATGGGTGAAAGTGGTGCTTTCTTTGCCTCAGTTCAAGGTATTCCTCCACTGAGTTTAAAACAATGTGACGGGATTGTCTCCCAAATGTTCGGCAGTGTTTTCTTTTTTCGTGCTGGTTGTGAGAGGGATTGAAGGGAAATGACAATGTGAAAGTGTGTATGAATGCGTGCTTGTGGTAGATGGAACTGAGTTTGGTTGTTCAGGGACACAGGCAGTGCCTCCCCTTTACGTGCCTCTTTGGAGAAAATAAACTCATCCACACGCTTATGCTGCTTGAGTAATGGCCTTATGTTCATCATCACAAACCTAAAACTCATGGGCTAATTTGTTTCCTCCAGAAATTGTATATTTTTTACCTGTACAGAGATTTTTAAAGGCACGTTTTTGTTGAGTGTTTGTGTATAAATATGTTTGTATTATTGTGTATATATGTAGCTCCAATTTTTTTCCTTCACTTTATAATGCTTGTATTGAAAGTCTGCCGTGATGGTCTTTTCTCTTGTGCGATGATGATGATGGTTTTTAGGGGAACGACACAAGTTTGCTTTGAGGAGAGACTGCCGGCCAGTTTGATGAGATTTTACCTAACCAGTAGCGAAACTGATGCTACACCGTTGATTTCTCTTTCCATTTGCTGTATCTGACCCGGCCCAGCGCATTGCCTCGTTCTGACCATTATCTCTCAACTCACAATCAAAAATCTGTCTTTTCACCCTTTGCCATTCTAGATGAATAGCCCTGTGTGTTTTAACAGAGAGAGCCAAAGTGTGGTTTTATGGGCATGTCTCATCTGCATCTGGTTTTGAGGAACTGGTCATGTTGGGGGTCTTGGATTATTGGATGTCCTGGAGCTAAATGGAATGATTCTGTTTGTTTGTATGCGCATGTGACCCTGCCTGTCAATCAGTCTTATTTAAGAATGTGGGAATCAGACTGTGGCGAATTCATCTGGCCATGCAGTCTTGGCAATAGAAATGAGTTGAAAAAGCTGATGCCAAAGATCCCCTTGGGTTCTTATTGATGTGAGAGTAAGTTTTATCTTTCCCCATCCTTCATTTATGGCTAAAACTTGAAAGTCTTTGTACATGTCTGTTATTCTACCTGGGTGTATGAAGAATGCTGACATTCAACCGATTGGGTTTTCTTTAGACGGATTCTTATGAAGTAACTCTAGAAAGGATAGTGATGCACTTCAGTGTTCCAACTAGAATTTTAGATTCACAGGATTTTTTTTTTATACGGTGGTGGTATTTTTCAATCATTCATTAATATTATAGCGATGCTTTAACTAGTTAATTTCTCAATCTGTTTCAGACAGAATACCTAATGCTGTGTTCACCAGGAGCAAGTGAATTTGGCAAGTCATTTTTACAAGAATGTCTTTCTTTTTTTAGCTGGTGGGATTTTTGTTTGTTTTGGTTGTTGAAATAAAGTATTTTACATCATTTTGTTGTCTTTAAGCAGTTTTTAGACAGTTTTAATGTATGAAATTAAATAGAATTTAGGTATTTATGAAAAGGAAGCTTTTAATTTTAAATTTGATTTATTCCAGTGAAGCTGATTTTACAGCAGCCATGACTTCATGCAGTTTTCTGTATCGCATGATCTTTTATTTTCAGAAATCATTCTAATATGCTGATTTTATTCTAAAGAAAACATAATCAATGCTAAAAACAGTTGTGCTGCTTATTTATGTAAAAACTTTCCAGGATTCTTTGAATATGAATTTTAAAAGAACAGCATTTACTTTTGTTACATTATAAAACATTAATTCAATTTAATAATTTAATATAACAGTATTTATTTCTTACACCAGAAAAATGCTAAGTACACATATATAATACATATTAATGTGTGTGTGTATATATATATATAAATATATAAAATTGCAAAATTTATTTATAAGTGAATGTCCTTATAGTAGTAAAAATAAGAAAAGTAAAAAGGTAGGTAAAAATAGTAAAAAGGTAAGAAAAGCATTAAAAAAAGTTTGAATTAGGAGCCAGTTTTTGTACGCTCCCTGTTCAGTGGGACATCTGACCCTGTTGGTGACTGTACAAACAAGAATCACTGAGATTTCACAGCTGTCTTCCCAGGCTCCTCACAACAAGTCACTCAAGAACCTTTACTGAGAAGAGCATTCAACATTCAGCCTTAGCAACTTAAAAACTGCTACAATTAGATATGGAATGATCACTTTTTTGTGACCTATTCATTCAAAACGTTTTTTTTAAATTAAATAATGTAATAATTTATTGAGATTACTTTTCACATAGTGTGCAAACTGAACAGCTTTAGTGTTTTTTTAGACTGTCCAAAAGGCATGAAAGGTCATTATCTGGTTTATCATTGACTAGCACATGCACTGGTAATCCTATCGGGTTAAATATTAAGACCTGCCAATAAAAGCGAAGCTACAAAGGTACAAAATCATTGCAACACATTTCACGTTTTAGCCTGGATCCGGCCTGGACGCCAGATCAATCTCAACGTTTTCTCGTGTTTCTCAGCTTGTGTATGTTGCAACCTCTCTGGAGTGGCTCAACTTCCAGACAGGGACGTGCACAGGGGGGTTGCTCAGGTTGCCCGGGCAACTGCCCATATGCCCTTCTCGACTCAGGTTGCCCTTCCGAGGAAAAAAAAAATCGTACAATGGATGTAGAATTTCACGTAGGCCTAGACAAAAAAATAATATAAAAATCGCAAAGCCTCATTCACTTCCATTCGGGCACTGAAAGGGAAAGTCAAACTGTTTACGTGGCTGCAGTGCCGCACGCGACCATAGACTGCACGCGACCGGTGTGTATGGTAAGGCACCGCAAATTACTCAGGCCGCGCCTCCATCTCGTGTCGCGCGCTAATTAATGTGTACGAAGTCCATGACAAAATGAAGCGAAACTATCCTTCTCGTCACGAAAAGAGGAAGAAGAAAAACATGAGAGTGAATTGCGGGAACAGCAGTCAGGTAAACTTGTGTTCTCTCCTCTCTAGTTTGATGTCAGCAAAGTTTGAAGGTTTTTGGTCTTGCTAACCTATCTGGGCAGGCAGTGCATCTCTTGCATCACTTTTTGAAAAGTGAGAGTAAAATACCATTATTTATTACGTTATTGTTTTTTATAAACAAAAAAAAAATGCAACAACAGTGTTTGTTTACTACAGCTCGGAAAACATATCCGCGTCGCGTGTGTTGCGTTCATATGCGCGTGCACGAAATGAAACTCGCATTTTTCAAGCAGAAATGTGGAGACCAGAAATACGTACAATACGTAAATGATGGCACTCCCAATCAAAGTACACATTATAAAGACACTGATTATCTAGTCTCAGTGTAGTTAAAAACTCTAAACAACTGCACTAATTATGCAAGATAGAAACCAATGTATTGGCAATTTGACATTGATTGACTATTGATTTATAGGCTATTGAATTTAAAATGATGATTAGCTGGATATTCTGGTCAATATGAATGCAAATCCCTCAGTAAATAACAATAAATCAAGATTTGCTTCAACATGCAAAAAAAAAAAAAAAAAAAAAATCATAGGCTACTGATTCCAAAAAATACCCAGGCTGTAGAGTGAATCAAAATTAATCCCAAAAGCCAAAGTTCAGGGTTGTACTTTATTATTTTCTTCTTATTTATGTTTACGTTAATAAACCTTCAAACCTTCAAACTTTGCTGACATCAGGGACGTGCACAAGAATTTTGAGGGGCAGTTGCTCTGACCTGTTAATAAATTTTGCTTAGGGCCCCAGGGGGAGGTCAGGATTGGCAAAAAAGGATTGTATTTTTTCCCGAAATCTAAGCGTTTTTTATTTTTTCGAGTTTTTCCATTCAATCCAGATTATTTCTTTTCAAATAAATAAATAAATAATAATAATAATAATAAAAAAACAATAAACAACAATATGAGGAACTCTTTTGCTCATTTGTCTCATCTCTGACATTTTGCAATCTTTATAAAAAATAATAAGACCATAAGATGAGGCATTGCGTTTGGACATAAACACGGCCAGATAAGGCAATTTGGAAGGTGACAAATTCAACTGAATATATTCCTTCATATAGCCCGTGAGGGAGGGGAGGGGGGGGGGGTGCCCTTTTTTCAGGTCAGAGCAACTGCCCCTCAAAATTCTTGTGCACGTCCCTGCTTCCAGATGTTTCTAGCGGAAAGCGTATGAAACTCAAAGACTGTCTTCTTTATGGCACTGAGAAGGAAAAAATCTTACGCTTTCTGTAATTGAAAAAATAATGAGCCATTTTAATTGTTTGTTTAAAAGTGGACATTTCAAGCTCTATTTATGTAGGCTATATTTTTTTCTGTTCATTTATGAGTTGCGCTCCAGTTCACGGAGATCAAAGCGCGCCTGGTTGTTTTATTTTATTTTAAAGCACATTTTCTTGTAAAGTGAGTTTGGACAAATAAAAATAGCCTAGTGGATAATAATGTATTATTCTTTTCTGTATGACCAGAAATTATAGAGTAGGCTATTTTAAGTTGTTTCAACTGTTGATAGGAAAATGCAAGTGGTTGTGCCCGTGCCTCCGTGCAATGTGCACTCCACACTCCCACACACACCTATGAGTCAAAACCTTGTGTTTATTTGTGATAATATTAGCCCTGTATAATTATTGTCTAACCTGTATTATTACTGACATTTGATGAATAGCTTTGTTCCTTTTTTTTTTTTTTTGATTAAAGCCTCTAAATGTGTAAAACCTAATATTTAAAACCTATGTAGGCTAATAATAATATTATTATTATCATTTGTGTTTATAACTATAAATGAGTTCACTGAATACAGTAATATGTTAATCCTAAAATAATTTATGAATGTTTTATTTTTATATAACCTAACGTGTTTGTGTTATATTTCTTTTGTAGTGAAGTCTTTTTTTTTTTTTTTTTTTTTGCTTATTCTACTATACTGAGTTTTAACTCCTAAAAAATTTACTATAAAGATACAAGTTGCCTAAATGCCGTTTTTTTTTTTATATATATAGAAAATTCAAGAAATTATCAATTTAAGAAGTTAAGTTTAAACATAATGAAATGCACCCCACACCTAAGAGGCCTGGTTGGCACCGACTGGGGAAGAGGCCACAAATCCGTTTACATACCCGTGGGAACAGATTGCGAAAGCGTGGGCATGGTTTATGAATTTGTGGGTACAGACTGCAAAAACTGAAGGCGCTGTTTACAAATCTGAGAGCGCAGATAGGAACTCGTGGCAGGGACGTGCGGTCAGGGTAGACAGTGCCTCACCAAAGGAAATGTTAGCATTACATTTATTAATTCCAAAAGTTTTATTAATTCACCACATTATTAATTGCATTTATTTTATTTTTTATTTTAGTCGGATCCCCACCCCCCATACGGATAATTTCTGTTTACCAATTAGCCTAACAGTTTTTCACTGTTAGCATTTTTACCGTAACATTAACATCACGATCATTTTTTACAGTGTGGGCACTGGGCAGACTTCTAGACACTTCTATATCCGTCAATCTAAGCAGTCGAAAGATTGCTATTTATAACCTTAAAATTTAAAATGAGCAGATGGATTCATGACAAACAGAACTATAAATCATTTCGACAGCCTGAGGATTAAGTCAACACACTTGTGCAACTGCAACCTCATACAAATATATCAACTTCACAAGTTATTATTTATGAAGAATATTTTAGTATAGCCTATACAGTATCAATTTTCACATGACTGTAATTTCAGTAATTTGCAGAACAATTTATTTCACATTTTAATCTTTTGCGCATACAGTTTTTTGCAGAAAGCCTACGCTTTGCCAGTCTATGTATCACTTCAAAAAAGCCAATTTAAGTTTTTTTTTTTTTTTTTAAATCAAGATATTCATTTTAATAGGCCTATTGACACAGATTTTTTTTACTCGTCAATCATGGGCCAATTTTTTTTTTTTTTTTTTTTTTTTCAAACAAATTCACAAGTTGCAATTCCTAAAGGCTGTTCGATCATGACACGGTGTTTTAACAATTATTTATTGGTTATCTTCGCGTGTGCCTAGGTCACTTTATTAGCACTCTTTTCAATGACGTCACTATGTAGGCCAAAACCATATTAAAACCAGAGAATTACACAGGGAGCGCGCGCTCTCTAGCGTCTACTGCAGTCACACTCAGCCTCATGAGTCATGACTATAACGGATGAATGAATTCCCATTCAAGACAGCATGCAACAGATATGCCGTGTTAAGCAAACACGTTTTTACACAGTGCTTTAAGCCTGTAAAACGTATAAAAAAAACACATACACATTTAGGGCCTGCCTATGTCATTTTTAGAAGGAAAAAGCCATGTTTAGATGTATAAAGGCCCACCTTATTTTTTTTCTCCTGACCAGACGACACAAAATCTAATCTTAGCACTTTTAATGAATGGCTAAGCAATTTTTAATTTTGTAATTTTATCTGAATATTAATTTGTGATATTTAGTCAGTCGAAACAGTTTTGAGGTTTATATCTAATTTTGTGTCTCTGGAAAATAGTGATCTTATTGACTATTATGTTGAATATCAAAGTATTTGTGTCTGTTTGTTGATCAAGGATTTGTGGACACATAGCCTATAATTTCTTTTTTAGTTTTGTGGAGTAAAAGTTATAGTTTTATTTTTAAAGTAAAAAGATAAAATTAGACCATTGGGGTAAGATGAGCCACCCAGAATTGGCAAAGAAGTTATTTTAATAGTTATTGTAAGTAATAGGGCTATTACTCAGTATTTTGTATTATTTTTCTATTATTCTATTCTTTTTTTGGTTGCGTGAAAACATTACATTTACATTTAGCGTTGCTATATTATTATGACACATCTTTAATTAAAATAGCCTATGGGCAATTAAATATATAAAAATGCATATGCCTGCCTTTATAAGTGATATAATAATTTTACCGTTCATCACTTCTCCTTTGTCTGTCATCGGTTAGCTATTCAATTATTCAACAAAATTGCCAAAATTCAATTTTAATTAGAGTAGTTAATTTAGTATTTTACATGAATGGTAGCCTACATTAATGTTACATTAATTGTAGATTAAAAGTACGATGCACATTGTTCTTAAGGGGGGCATTTGATCATTAGTCAAATGACGTCACAAGCTAATTCGCTTAAGCAAACACTTTAATAGCACAAATGCAATATATGCTGTAGCCTATATCAAAAGCCAAACTTCTTTTGATAAACTGACAATCATTTATAATTCTAAAACAATTAGTTATGTAGCAGTTATGTAGCAATCACGCTGTCTACAGCTGAGAAAAAAAAGAGCTGTGCTTTTTTGCCTTCCTTCAATTGTCATAATTTCCTGTGAACCAAATATCTTTCTGATTGTGAAACACTTCCTGTCTCGATGTTTCACACACCAGGACATATTCTTGCGTAGATCACGTGAAATGTCTGGTGAAACCAAATTTTCTGGAACAAATATCTTAAACTTCAACAGGGACATTGACAATATGCGACTATAATGTTACAAACACTTTAGAGTGAGCTGGTTTTAATTCTAAATTAAACGTCCAGTAGGAGGCACTATATGCTCACTCATATTCATTCACTCGTACACCTACTCAGGATTATCATCCAAATGGCAGTGAAAGTGATTTTAAACAACAGCATTCGACTTTTTCTTTGTTTATTTAGATTTCCATTACACAAGAGTAGATGTTAAAACAGGGTCTTCAAGTGGGCACCTTCCGTCCTCAGTGTTTCGTCGACTAGCCCATGACACTTCAAGAGGGCTCGACAGTGACTGGCTTCCCAGAGTCACCACCTCCATCCTACCTCAAAACACAATATCTGTCCAAACACCACCCTTCATTTAAGCAATATACACAGGAATGTAATAACTGTAATTACTCTGCAAACTATAAATAAGCCAACAGACTCTTCAAGTTTTTCAAGAATTCTACGAAACCGTAGCGTGGCGGCCTGTACACAGCCAGCCAGAATCTTTCCGTCTCAACCACAGCCAGTTGCTGCTCCTCTCTGCTGCCTCAGATAAGTTCTTTACCCCTCTTGGCCACTGAATCCGATGTCTCTGAGGAACCGGGTTGTAGAGTGTGCCACAAATCCTCGACAACCCACTTCCACTGGATAAACCTGGACTCTCCATCCTCGGTGTCCTACTTCTGTGGCCAGGTGAGTACCACAGTTTCTCATCTAGGCTACCTTTCTCATATGCCTCATCTACTGCATCCTCCCATGGCACTGTTAATTCTATCAGTTGAACAATGCGTGCTGACCCAGACCCCAAAACAAAATCTGCTCGTAATTTAGTGCTGGCAATCTCAGGTGGAAAAATAAGCCTTTGATCAAGATCAGCCGGCATTTTCCAATCCAGCTTCCAGTTGTCCTGGGCGAGAATTTGTTTTAACCCCTTTTCTTGGTGGTTGCTCGCCTGGGCGGAGGAATATTGTCTTCTGTGTGTAATGTTTTGTTAGAACAGGCGGCAACTTATTGGTCATACACGCTTGCCTTCCAATGCTAAAGCCAAAGATTGTAGTACTTGGTGATGGTGTCAAGTAAACCGACCTTGGCTAAGAGCCACCTTACATCCTGTCAGAATGAGCCTTAATGTGGCAGGTGATGAACACAAAGGACAAGAGGGATCCTTTCCTACCCTGAGGTTTAGGTTCTGTGGTGTTCTGTGGAGAACATCGTATGTTGACCTAATAAGGAAACTGATCCTACTCTCTTCCATTGACCAAAGGTCTTGCCAGCCCATCTTGCGTTGTTCCACACTCTCCCTGCTTGGCCTGGGAAATGGCCTTCATACACCTCATCCTTTCCTCTGCTTTCACACCTCCTTGACTACCAGCTTCCTCCTTTGAGCGGGGCCTGCCTTGTGCCATTATGGAGGAGCTAAACCAAGCCCAAATCCCCCGCTTCCATGCTGTACCTGTCCCAAAATATCCCCAATTTGAAGGCCAGCCTTTGCCCACAGATTTCTTTGCTGACATCTTTCTACTAGTTTTTAACACCGGGGCTGCCTCCCTTACACATTTGTCACGTGACTCTACTAAGGTAATTTCCAGTCTGACCTTGGCGCACTTAAACTCTTTGGTTAAAGCAGAGACTGGCAGCTGTAATAGTCCTTTACTATAAAGTCCCACTCTGCTGAGGCAGTGTGGAACTCCCAACCATCTCCTGATGTGTGAACTTAACAGTATTCACATAACAGAATTTGCAAACTGCCACAGCTTATGCTAACAATGTGCAGAGCCATATTTGAACAACTGCCTGTCCTCCATCTATAGGCTACAGTTCCCGCAGCATGTGAACATGTTAACAGGTACATATAGAAAAACCCCATGCTTCCCTAGAATGGAGGGAGTGTCTGTTTAACAGTGTTGTTTGTTATGAAGCCTAACCTGTTCTGCGTTGTCATTACTCTGAGGATACTGTGTGTGTGTGGCTCAGTTAAGAGCTGCATGTCAACCAGCCCGCAGAACCATCAAGCTTCTGTAATTCAGCTGACGTGGACATAATTACTGCCAAATATATTATTTTTTCTTAGAAGCTAAAGCTTCTTTGTAAACTAAAATACAAACTGGTTATAGTTTTCCTTTCAGTTGGTTAAAAGTGTCTCTGCCTCACTGCCTCATGGGGAAAGACAATTTGCAGTCTTCCCTGGCTTCAGTCCTCCTTACTGTTCATTTTGAAATTATGTCTCTTTCTTGGCAAGCTGTAGAGGAGAAGAGATTTTTCCCATGGGAAAGTGTGTACCTCATACAGCAAGTTGGTGCATTTCTACATGTCTCTGTAGTGTAAACACTTTCACAAACCCTGAACAGAATATATTCATTTCATTATAGTGACACAATACATTAAGGGTTCCCAGCAAGTTGAAAGCAACTCAGTGGAAAGTCTAAAAAAAGTATTTTCTCGTCTCAGTGGGCAGAGAGCAGTAAGGCCTACCTGTAAATAGTCACACACACACACACACACACAACATGTTTTTCCAGCTCTTATTCAAAGGGTGCCTCTGATGACATAATAGGAACACTGTATGACTGAACTAATACAAGAGACATTGTGACAAAACAAGTTCAGGCAAAGGATTGTACACCCATAATATATTGATATTAATAAAAAGAATTATTTTATCTAACTTTCATTGTGTCATTAAGGTGAGGTCAGGTAAAATGGGAAAGATATGGGTGGTGTGTCTCTCAAATAAACAATAAATGTAGGCTATCAGATGATTTAATTGGTCTGCGTAGGCCTATGCAAAGGTGGGAAAGATTTTGGTGAGGAAATGAGTGCCCTATCCTGCTACCATTATAGGGATGCACAATGTCAGGTCATGTAAATTATAGTTGGGTTTTTTTATCAATCAGGATTGGAAGATGTTAGATGGATCCTTTCTAATTGTTTCATCAAACATGTATCTAAGTACTATAAAAACATGACTAGTTAACCATAATCAATAATGTGATGCTTAAATTCACTTAGGCCTATGTCAAAAAAAAAAAAAACAGATCTGCACAATTCAAGTTACGTATAATGCACTTTTAACAATGTCACTCTATGCAATAACTTAGCAACAACTTATCGTTTATGTAAAAAACTATTACGTAAGTGATTTCGAACGCGCGTGTAAACAAAACTTCATTTCCCACAGTGCAAAGCACGAAACGCTACATCAAACAGCTGACTAGGGGTGAAACTTATGTGAGCGCTTCTCTCAGGGCTTCGCGGGATATACACAACGTTTGATGCGGAACAAGCTGACAAGGCGTTCTGTCTTGCTGTCAAACCAGACCACGAGTATTGTTTGAGGAGTATGCTTGCGTTCTGAACTATTAGGCTACAATACTCATTTGGGGTAGGACTGTCATCTCCGTTTAGTCTACATGCGCTCACAATAAACATGTCTTTGGACTAGTGTTTGCTGTAGTTCGCGCTCATGCCCCTAAACCCGTGCCAATGCCGAGGAATGGATACTGTCTCTAGCAAAGGGGGGAACATGGTCGCAAGTGACGAGGAGCATCTGGACGGGAGCGATGGCAGTAACGCGGGGATGGACGCGCTTCACCAGTGCAAACTCATCCAGAACTTGATCGAGATCTCCATCTCTAGTCTGAAGGGGCTCCGGACCAAGTGCGCCGCATCTAACGACCTGACCCAACACGAGATACGCGCTTTTGAGGTAACGTAGGATTCAGTTTTTGCCTATAGGCTATGTGGCTTTTAACATCAAGCTTCGGTGCTGTTCATGCCAGGTTGGCTGCAGGTTATTACTTTACAAGTTTGTACCATGACACTAGTGTGATTCAGACTGCGAATGATAGTTCTTGATATGTCTTAATAATAATGCTTGCTTTGTAGGTGCAAACCATCATCAATCATCATCATTTTTCTTGTCTATTAATATATAACGTCATGCTAGGGTCATGGAAACCCCCTTTGGCTCACATTGTTTCCTGGTTCTTAAGATCGTTATTGAGGTTGCATCTGCCTACCCTATCCTGATGTCAAGTTTTACTTGTGTAATGTTGTGCATTGTGAAGAAGAAACGTTTTGCACTTGAAGAAATGAACAGCACTTTTGAGTAATAACATGTAGCGGGTCACTCCTTTATATTGTAATCATATGACAAGATGTGTCATGAAAATTGTAATGTTTATATGATATAGTGCTTTAAGGCAGTGCTTTACAACCACAAACCGACCTTTAAAGGGAACGTTCAACAAAAAAATAAATACAATTCTGTCATTATTTACTCTCCCTCATGTCGTTCAAAACCACTTAAAAGGTTAGTTCACTCAAAAAGGAAAATTCTGTCAGTAATTACTCACCCTTATTTCGTTCCAAACCCGTAAAACCTTCATCTTCGGAACATAAATTAAGATATTTTTGATGAAATCTGAGAGCTTTCTGTACCTCCATTGATAGTAATGTCATTGCAACTTTCAAGGCCTAGAAAGGTGGTGAAAACATTGTTCAAATAGTCCATGTGAGTACAAATAGTCCATGACATGGACTCTCATCGCTTCATAACATTAAGTTTGAACCAGTGTAGTGACACATTCGGAACCCAAATGAAGATCTTTTTAATGAAAGCAGAGAGCTTTTTTTGTACTCTCAATCAACAGCTACGTAACATGAATGAACCTCATTGGTTCTTGAGGAAGCTCAAAGGTGCTGCATAACACGAATGAACCTCATTGGTTCTTGAGGAGCTCAAAGGTGCTGTGTAACACGAATGAACCTCATTGGTTCTTGCTGAAGCTCAAAGCTGCTGCGCAACACGAATGAACCTCATTGGTTCTTGCTGAAGCTCAAGGGTGCTGCGTAACACGAATGAACCTTATTGGTTCTTGCTGAAGCTCAAAGCTGCTGCGTAACTCAAATGAACCTCATTGGTTCTTGAGGAAGCTCAAAGGTGTTGCGTAACATGAATGAACCTCATTGTTTCTTGAGGAAGCTCAAAGGTGTTGCGTTACATGAATGAACCTCATTGGTTCTTGTTGAAGCTCAAAGGTGCTGCATAACATGAATGAACCTCATTGGTTCTTGTTGAAGCTCAAAGGTGCTGCATAACATGAATGAACCTCATTGGTTCTTGTTGAAGCTCAAAGGTGCTGCGTAACACGAATGAACCTCATTGGTTCTTGCTGAAGCTCAAAGGTGCTGCGTAACACGAATGAACCTCATTGGTTCTTGAGGAAGCTCAAAGCTGCTGCGTAACACGAATGAACCTTATTGGTTCTTGCTGAAGCTCAAAGCTGCTGCGTAACACGAATGAACCTCATTGGTTCTTGAGGAAGCTCAAAGGTGTTGCGTAACATGAATGAACCTCATTAGTTCTTGCTGAAGCTCAAAGGTGCTGCGTAACACGAATGAACCTCATTGGTTCTTGCTGAAGCTCAAAGGTGCTGCCTAACACGAATGAACCTCATTGGTTCTTGCTGAAGCTCAAAGGTGCTGCGTAACACGAATGAACCTCATTGGTTCTTGCTGAAGCTCAAAGGTGCTGCGTAACACGAATGAACCTCATTGGTTCTTGAGGAAGCTCAAAGCTGCTGCGTAACACGAATGAACCTTATTGGTTCTTGCTGAAGCTCAAAGCTGCTGCGTAACTCAAATGAACCTCATTGGTTCTTGAGGAAGCTCAAAGGTGTTGCGTAACATGAATGAACCTCATTAGTTCTTGCTGAAGCTCAAAGGTGCTGCATAACTCAAATGAACCTCATTGGTTCTTGAGGAAGCTCAAAGGTGTTGCGTTACATGAATGAACCTCATTGGTTCTTGCTGAAGCTCAAAGGTGTTGCGTAACACGAATGAACCTCATTGGTTCTTGCTGAAGTTCAAAGTTGCTGCGTAACACGAATGAACCTCATTGGTTCTTGCTGAAGCTCAAAGGTGCTGCCTAACATGAATGAACCTCATTGGTTCTTGAGGAAGCTCAAAGGTGTTGCGTTACATGAATGAACCTCATTGGTTCTTGCTGAAGCTCAAAGGTGTTGCGTAACACGAATGAACCTCATTGGTTCTTGCTGAAGTTCAAAGTTGCTGCGTAACACGAATGAACCTCATTGGTTCTTGCTGAAGCTCAAGGGTGCTGCGTAACACGAATGAACCTCATTGGTTCTTGCTGAAGCTCAAAGGTGCTGCGTAACACGAATGAACCTCATTGGTTCTTGCTGAAGCTCAAAGTTGCTGCGTAACATGAATGAACCTCATTGGTTCTTGCTGAAGCTCAAAGGTGCTGCCTAACATGAATGAACCTCATTGGTTCTTGAGGAAGCTCAAAGGTGTTGCACAACACAAAAAGGAACCTCATTGGTTCTCGCACATCAAGTGAACATGTGTGAGCTTCTGTTTACTACAACTGATGTGTGAGTTGATGAATGTTTATATATGTGAATAAACGTCTAAATTCAATGTGTTCATCATAGGGATTGTGTCTCTTCAGAAAATGTGGACTAAGCCGCCTAATTCAAATAGATTAGTTGTACTATGATCTCTCTATGAACTTCTGGATGTGATTTTTCAATAATGATGTAAATGCTTTCATATAGCATAATTGTCATCATCATCCTCATGATAATCACTGCAATGGAATAGTCTATTGTAGAGGAGTTTACTAATCAAAGTCCTCAAGCTGATCTAAAAATATGTTCCATCATGTCAAACAGCCTGTTATCTGAGTTTAGTTTATCTCTGCAAACTAGAAGAGCAAGTCAGAGTTATGCTATTTTTAACCATACGCAGGTATTTTTTTAACAGTGGTTAACCCCCTCCCACAAATGTGAACTGAAATCCAAAGTTGGTTGAACCTGTGGAACAGTCACTTTTAGTAATGATTGCATTTTTTGAAACACCTTAACAAGTGGCTTTTCCGCGAATACAAACTTATCTTCTTAGTAAGGTCAAGCACTTTCTTCTCTGAATCAAAACATGGCTTTCATGTTCACTCTTAGATATTCCTACTTGCAGACTCAAACTTTTAAACAATCAAGTTGGGCTTGAGGCTTCGTTAAATAAACCATCTAACTTTGAAGATTTTATGATGCTAGTTCTCACAGAGACAGGTAATTGTTACTGTGGTGGGTTTTGGTGCTTGTTTTGAAGATACTTATCTACTGACTGTGTAGTCTTAGGGAGGTGCTTCGAGTTTTTCTCATGATTAAATTCAGAAATAACACTCGTTCAAATAAGGTCATGTCACTTTTTTATCACTTTCATTATTATAAGCCAAGTGCAAGAAAGAGAATGAAATGCATGTTGTTTTAAATCACATCAACATTTATATAACAGACGGAGTATGATAATGTGTGGTGGTGACCAAGGCCACAGTGAACTGTAATTACAAGCAATATACAATAAATAGTAAGCAATAAGTACCTAGAGGGCTATATATAAAGTAAAATATAGTGTTAAACAGTGTCAGATGGATTAGTGTTGCCAGATGTAAACGTATACAGATTCTAGTGCTCATACAATGACTGTAATGCGGCAAGGATTGTGCTGAGGTAGAACAATAACAAGCAGAGTCAGGAGTATGGGTTGCATTTCTGCATCGGGTGGGGGTGGACAGTCCATTTGTTGATTGTCAGTCATTGGATAGTCTGAAAACTTGTGGGAAGAAACAGTTCATCGTCTAGTGGTTTCGGACTCCCCAAGCCGCCTCAAGCCAGATGGTAGGGGTATGAAACTAAAGAGATGGGACCCGTAATGATGCTCTGGTCCTTCCCGTTCAGTCCTTGTTAGCTGAAAGTCCGGTTCCACTAATGAACTGAGCTATTTTCACTACCCACGGAGATTTTTTATTTATTTTTTTTGGTCTAAAAAAAGAGCAGTTAACATACCAGACAGTGATCCGGCAGGTAACTCGGGTACTCTCTGTGACACACCTGTAGAAGCTGTTGAGTTTTCACTAGCTTGAAGGGATTGTTCACCCCCAAATTAAAATTCTTTCATCATTTTCTCACCCTCAAGTTATTTCAAACCTGTATACATTTCTTTGTTCTGCTTGAACACAAAGGAAGATGTTTGGAAGAGTGTCTGTAACCAAGCAGATCTCGCCTACCCCCCATTCACTACCATAGTAGGAAAAAAAATACTATGGTAGTCAATGGGGGGTAGTCAATATGGTAGTCAATTATAAATATCGTTATACAGCAGAACAAAACATTTATACAGGTTTGGTACATCTTGAGGGTGAGTAATTGATGACAGACCTTTCAGTTTTGGGTGAACTATCCCATTTAGTCTCCTCTGTATGGTTAAGGAAGAGGTGATCAAGGTCCACTATTAAGGTGTCCGTCTTTGACACTGTGAGCAGTTGGTTTTTCTGACCTCTCCAATCATATAATTTTGTGATTGTTTTCTTTTCATCAGACTTTTCTTTTTATGCCATCTTGTTGATGTCATCAGCTTATGTAACTGCTTTTTATGTTTGGATCCTTTGGTCCGTAAGGTGTGTACACCACCCTGGTGACACTGGTGTTGAGAAAGGTTAACTTTGAAGTCAAGAAACACTAGGTGGCCATGACTCTTTTGATACCTGTGGAGACATAGGTCCAGTGTGAACTCTGTAGCCAGATCTGCAAGCAGCATTAAAAGCTTTCAGTGGACAGTTGTGGAGGGCTGAGTGAAGACTGACACAGTATGGGGTCAGGCCTTGAAGTGTGGCTTGACATC